TTCCCCTTTTTGGAAGGTGTTAACGGAGAAATCCGTGGGCTCCCTTGGACAAAAAACAAGGACACCAGCCAGGAATCCCAGAGCGAAACAGCAGCCAGTCGCCTTGGTCTTGATTGAAGACAGACAGGACTCCCACCTGCCACAAGGTGGAACAAGATGGAAGCCCCAGACAAAAGAGAACCCAAACTTTTATTAGCTGCTTTGGTGCTGTGGGTTAAACCACAGAGCCTAGGGCTTGCCGATCAGAAGGTCGGCGGTTCGAATCCCCGCGACGACGGGGTGAGCTCCCATTGCTCGGTCCCTGCTCCTGCCCACCTAGCAGTTCGAAAGCACGTCAAAGTGCAAGTAGATAAATAGGTACTGCTCCGGTGGGAAGGTAAACGGCATTTCCGTGCGCTGCTCTGGTTCGCCAGAAGCGGCTTAGTCCTGCTGGCCACATGACCCAGAAGCTGTACGCCGGCTCCCTCGGCCAATAAAGCGAGATGAGCGCCGCAACCCCAGAGTCGGCCACGACTGGACCTCATGGTCAGGGGTCCCTTTACCTTTAACCCCCATGTTAGGTAAAGGGAAAGGGACCCATGACCATTAGGGTCCAGTTGCGGATGACTCTGGGGTTGCACGCTCATCTCTCTCTAGAGGGAGCCGGCGTTTGTCCACAGGTCATGTGGCCAGCCTGACTAACCCGCTTCTGGCGAACCAGAGCAGCGCACAGAAACGCCTTTTACCTTCCCGCCGGAGCCGTACCTATTGATCTACTTGCACTTTGACGTGCTTTCGAACTGCTAGGTTGGCAGGAGCAGGGACTGAGCAACGGGAGCTCACCCCGTCATTGCGGGGATTCAAACCGCCGACCTTCTGATCAGCAAGTCCTAGGCTCTGTGGTTTAACCCACAGCGCCACCTGCGTCCCTTCCAATCTCCATGTTACACCCCGCAAACTACATCACTCATACATCACGGTTACATCATGAAAGGGGAGGTCTGGTGGCAGTAATCTGATCATCCTGGACCCTGCCCCATGGTTCCCCTTGCCCTCCAGCAAACACCCATCAAGTGTAACAAAAGAGATATTCACATTTCCCTGTTTCCCAGCCAAGTTCATCACACCCTTTTGTCTTCATCTGGGTTGGTTATTTCTGGAATGGCTACCTGTCTGGCACTCAGGTATCAGGATGCCAGGGATTATCACTCAGGCAGAGGGGCTGCTGAGGAGCTGAGCTCACCTGTCTATATGAATTTCTGAAGTTTTCCCAGTGAGCCAGTACAGAGATACATTGATCAGTGAATTCTGACATTTGGTATTGTGCAGCAAAGGCCCTTTGCATAGATAGGAAGAAACTGGAATGAAGTGTTTTGTGGGGACAAATCACAAAAGTCACAAAAGCGATTGTGCTGGTTTTGGTTGTGGGCTGCATGTGCGTGACATCTGCTGGAGGGGCAACCCCCCCCCCAACCTATACATAAATTCCTGCAACAGTGGGAAATTCCCTTATTCCAAATAGGATTCCTCGCAAGAAAAGGGAAAAGTTGACAGCTATGGGTGGGAACCGTTTAACCTAGAGCAAGCTGCCGGTTTCAAATGGGATGTCTTTCAGGATAGGAGTGTCTATGAGTTGATCCCGGGAACTTCTGTATTTAATAGGCTTTGCTCCCAGGTAAATGGGAGTCAGGGCTGCAGCCCTCAAAAGTCTTTTAAAATACAGATTCTTTCACGGACAAAAGGAAGTCCTTCTTCTTGAGTTGCCAAATAATGTCCTGGATTAAAGGGGCAAAAATAACATCCGGGTGATTTTCGTAAAATCGGCAAAACGAGCTTTTTCTTTTTTAAGGAAACGCAAAGTTGTTGAGCTTGCTAAACTCAGCTTTGCTGAACAAAAGTGATTGCAAACAACTTCGAAATCTGGGACATTTTGCCGATTTAACAGGCTGCTTTCGCCGGTTAAATCCCAGATGCGTGGCAACCTTAGATAAAAACTCCCCAAAACATCATCTACTCAGGAGTAATTCCTATTGAGTTCAATAAGTGGAATCTAGGATGGCAGCCTTTTATTCCCACCTAAAAAAATAAAAGCAAGAATTCAATGTTCCCGTCTAGGTTAGGAATGAGAGGGTTGGTGGAGTGAGAGAACCAGGAAGAAAATGCGATTTTAGTACAAGGTAGAACCTTTATTACAACTTTTTCATTGATAGGTATACAACATCTGAGAGACAGATACGGGGAGAGGGGGGGGAAAGGTAATATTGTTATAAAATGTCAAATTTATTGCTACATTACTGTTATATACAGGACAGTTCTCAAAATTCTACTTTTAAAAAAGTTAAGGATTATTTAAAAATTCCAAATAATCCAGCCAGCTGTTTTGTTTTTTTTTTCTTGACACTTGTATAAAATTATTATTATTATTTTTTTTAAAAAATGAACACAATCCATATCTTGAGGCACTCGGAAACACAATTTAAAACCCCCCCGTGCTACCCCAACCCCAACCGCCCAATCCCAGAAATTTGTGATTTCAGTCCAAAAATGTGGGTCACTCCCCTCTATTCTGTGATGCCCTCCCCACCCACCAAATACTCTTTTTCTTTCCATTTTCCTCCTCCTCCTCCTCCTCCTCCTTTTTTTTTTTTAAAACGGGGGTTAGGCATATATATATATTTATACCATATATATATCTTTCAAAACTATAATGTGTATCTGATTTAATAACAAGGATTCTCAGCCACTTACGTACAGCTGGATTTTACAATGTAGGCAGCAAATAGAGGGGGATAAAACAACACCCCAAAGCGGCCCCCGCTCCCCAAATCCAAATTTCAGCTCGGCATGACTTAAAACCGCCCCCCCCTTGTCCATTGAAAGCAAAAAAAGAGAGTTCCATCGAGTCCATTCATTTCCCATTAAGACTTAAGTCATGCTAACTGTACCTGGATCGGGGCCACTCACCCCTCCCGCCCCCCCATGAAAAAGCAAGGATCCATTTTTATCTCTCTTTTTTAATATATATATAAAAATCCCCAATAGCAACAAAGAGAGAGAGAGAGAGAGCCCCAAAACAATCTAAACAGGCTGAAAAGGATACACAGCCTTGCCCATCCCACCTAAAAAAATATAGCTTAACGGGAACCAAGGTACAATTTGTTCTCTGCAGTCCGCGAACCTCTTTTTTTAAACAAAAAGTTAAGATTTCCCCCCCACGGTGCTGTTTCTCCTAAAACGCTCCCCACCCGGCACGAAAAAATATGGGGTTCCTTTCCCCCCTTCTGTTTTGTTTCGTTTCGCTGGTTGTCCCTTTCTTAAATTTCCGAACCCCCGCAACAAAAATAAATATCCCGAGATCATTTGGGACATATCTATATTACAAACTTTAAGAAAGAAAGGAAGGAAAAGGGGAAAAAACAGTTTCAAACCCGTTTTTGAGCTATCGTAGCGACCCAAAGGCAGAGGGCGCTTCGGGGGTTGCAAGGAACGGGGAGGGGGGGTGCGACACAGGGAAAGAGGGGCTGCTTCTCCGGCCAAAGGATCTCTGAGCGCACCTTGCGGAAACAGCAGGGTTCCTTTTTTAGATAGTTAAAACCGGTCTGAAACTGTTTTAAGAGTTTGTAGTGTAGACACGCCCCGACCGAAAAGGCGAGCTTCTCTCCCCCCCCCCCCGCCTTTTCCCGAACGGAACAAAAACACAATAAAAACAGAACCAAATTGTTCAAACAAAATACAACTTTGAAAAGGAAGGGAGGAGGAGATCTTGTTTTGAGCCGGTGGACTGGAAACTGTGGGGTTTTTTTTCCCCTGGGGGTGTGTGTGTGTGTGTTTGAACTGGAAAAGGAAGTTGTGGCAACTCTCCTTTAGAGAGAGATTTAGTCAAGGTGGGGTGGGAACAAGGAGACGCCAAAAGTTATCCTGTCCTCGGCTCCTGCAAAGTTGCTTTGACCCGGGCCGATCCCAGAAAACACCCCCCTACCCAAAAAAACTCCCAGTTTGGTGCAGAACCGCCAAGCGGTTCTGCCAGAAATCAGATTTGTGACGGGAGATGAACCAAGCGGGAGATGGGTGGAAAAGCGGGGAGGACCGTGGCCGAGTGGCGGGTGGCACGGGGACACCCGTGCCGCAAAAACGGGTGCCCTGTCCCCACCTAGCAAGGACCTTTGCCCACTGCCCTGCATGGCTCTAGCAAGGACTTTTTCCCATCTCTGCTGGTAAAGCGCCCCCCCGGATGCCACGCTCTGTGCCGTCGGAGTCGTGTGAATGTGTGTGTTTCTAGCGGGATTTGCCCAAAGTCAACTCTCCGGGATATTCGAAACCTCCGAGGTCGCAGCACCCATGGGAGAGTCTCCAAAGACCTGCCACCCCTCCGGAGGGCAAATTTGGGAGGACGAGATACCAGGACTAGTCGACGCACCCTCCCAAAATCCGAGACTGCGGTGGCCATCTCCTCTCGCCGGAAACAGCGCCCTTCTCCGGAGGGGCGCAAAGTTGCTTTCCGTCCGCAAACTGGCGGGGGACTGGAAGTATTCGCCCCACCGGCCAGCAGCAGTTCATCCCGTGCTCGCAAAATGCAAAGCGGGTCCGTCTTCGGTTTGAAGTCCTGCGACTTGGGGGGCTTGAGTGTCTCCGGCTTGGAAAACGTAGCGTCTCGCGCATGCACCCCGCACCCCACCGCAAAATCTCGCCGTCTCACCTTTTCCTCGTTGCGGCTCGTTTGTTCTTCGTTCTGCCTCCAGCAGTTCTTTTTAACATTTTTAAAAAATCGCGCCCAACCTCCCTCCTTTTCCGTTTGTTCCGCGCCGGTTTTGCTCAGGTGCTTGTCTCGAAAAATGGAGAAGGAATCGGTGGGAACGTGAGCTGGTCCTCCCGTCGCCATCCCGCCTTTCAAAGACGGCGCTCTCTTCCAAAGTCCTCCGTTTTCTGCTGTCTTGAGATCAACGTCTTCCGTAAAGAGGACTTCGCGTTGCTTGTAGTGTCTTTGCTTTCCATTAAAGGGGGACCACAGATGGCGCTTTTTGGGGGGGTGAGGTTTAAGATGGAAGCCAAGGGCACAATATAAGACTTTTTGAGAATCGTGCGGGATGGAGGAAACTCTTCCAAATCGCTTTGCCATCTCTTCCCCCCATCCCCTTTCAAAATTCAACAAATATACCCTTCGCCGTGGAAGCTCCTAGCCAAACGAACCTGTCTATTTCAATTCACGCTTGTGACATTTTCGCAACACTCTCACCGTCGTCCGTGTCTCTCCCCCCCCCCGCAATTCCTTCCTCGAATTTAGTTTCCATTTTTGTGTTTCGTTTTCAAACATCCAGTCCTCTTAATACAAACTTTTAATATTTCTGGTTGATCTTAATTTTTTAAAAAATAATATGCAACATTAACTATAGAAACAGCAGCAGAGAAAAGAGATAGAGGGAAGGGGGGCGGAAATAAAAAGCGGTTCGATGGGGGGGGGGAAACAAATCTCTTCGTCTTTTTTTTTTACACGTCTTTTTCCCTCCCCGTCGTTGCTTACAAAACATATACGCAAAAGAAGCTAAAAAAACAACCCAAAACGAAACAACAAAACCCCCCCAGCTCCACAAAAGGCATTACTATGTTTGTTCTACGTTTAAAAAAAATTATTGTAACTAATGTTCTCTTTTTTAAAAAAAGAAAGAAAGAAAGAAAATAAAAATAAAATGCGTAGGCACAATTTCTTTTTTTCTTTTTGCTGGCCTTATGTGAACACAAGCCATTTGTAATGTTACACATCCCCGCAAACAACACCCCCCCCCGAAATTCGGTAACTGAAGGATATGCACTGAAAGTTCGAGAATATAGGCTTAAGGCAATCTTTGCTGTTGATTTTTCTGTTTTGATAAAACTTGTTGCTTTTCCTTTCCTTTAGAGAGAGAGAGAGAGAGAGAAAGAAAGAGAAAAGTTCCTTCTAGCACGCTGAACTTTTCTCTGCCCGTTTCCCCCCCTCCCCCAAAAAAGGACCGCACGTCGGTATTTGAAACAGGACTACAGTTTCTGGTGCGGACAGGCGGTGGTTGTCGGAGAATGGAGGAGAGGGGGATGTGTGAGAGATCCAGCTTTCTCTTCTTCCTACAGACATCTGCTTGCAGGGCGAAGAAAAGAAATCACCTGCGGGGGGAGAGAGAGAAAGGGTGAGAAGAGGAACAGCGCAAAAGCCCGGAGGTTCGTCGCGAAAAAACACAAGTCTCAAAAGCGACGTCTGCAAACTCCACCATCCTAGGCTGCGTCCGACCCAGCCCTGAATTGCTTAGCCCAGGGGTCAGCAAACTTTTCCAGCAGAGGGCTAGTCCACTGTCCCTCAGACCTTGTGGGGGGCCGGAGTAGATTTTGGAAAAATAATAATGAACGAATTCCCGCTGCTCCCAAGTAAGGACCCAGAACAGGTGCACAGAGAGAGAGAGTACCTTTACATGTGCCCAACGGGGTTGTGCCCATCTCCTAGACCCGGATGAGATGCCGAGAGCGCCATTTGAGGGTCCCCGACGACGCCAGACACTTTCTCCTCTTCGCGGCGCTTTAGGCAGGCTGCTTTTGGGTTCAGGTTACGTTCTGAGACGAGAGGAGAGAGAGAAGAGGAGGGGAGGAGGAGGAAATCTGGAGGTTTGGGTCTGGCAAGAGCCAGCTGCAACCCCAACCCAACCCAACCCAAATCAACGCAACCCAACCCAACCTAACTCAACCCAACCCAATTCTACCCACCCCTATCTATCTCAACCCAACCCAACCCAACCCAATTCTACCCACCCCTACCTATCTCAACCCAACCCAACCCAACTCAACCCAACCTAACTCAACCCAACTCAACCCAACCCAACCCAATGTAACTCAACCCAACTCAACCCAACCCAACTCAACCCAACCCAACCCAACCCAATGTAACTCAACCCAACCCAACTCAACCCAACCTAACTCAACTCAACTCAACCCAACCCAACCAACCTAATTCAACCCAACCCAACCTAACTCAACCCAACCCAACCTAACCCAACCCAACTCAACCCAATGTAACCCAACCCAACCCAACCCAACTCAACCCAACCTAACTCAACTCAACCCAGCCAACCTAACTCAACTCAACCCAGCCAACCTAACTCAACTCAACCCAGCCAACCTAACTCAACCCAAGCCAACCTAACTCAACCCAAGCCAACCTAACTCAACCCAACCCAACCCAACCTAACTCAACCTAACTCAACTCAACCCAACCCAACCTAACTCAACCTAACTCAACTCAACTCAACACAACTCAACCCAACATAACCCAACTCAACCCAACCCAACCAGCATCCAAGGAAAAGACACAAGACGGAGAAAAGGATAAGGATTGCAGGAAGTGCAAGAGGGTTGGCATCTGAGCGCTCGGCCCCCTCCCCAAGCCCCCTCCCCACCTTGCCGCTCAAAAGCTGTAATGGGGGGGGGGTCATCTCTGCACAGACTGCAAACCAGAGAGCGAAGGGGGGAGGAGAATAGAAGCGACGCAAAACCTGGAGCCCCGAGCAAAGGGTGGAAGGGAGAGAGGCAGAGACACTCGTGCGAGCGAGAGAGCCCAGATGGGAGATGCGCGCAAAGCAGGGGGGGGGGCGAGACCTCGGGGTGTCTGTGGGGGGGAGCCCCCCGGCGCCGTACCTCGTACTTGCTGCTCCAAGCCTAATATGACTTGCACCGCTTGCTGGAGGATGATGAGCTTGGTCTGCGCTTTGTCTGTTTTTAAGTGAACTTGGCACATGCGTCCCAGCTCTTTAAAGGCCTCGTTAATGTCCCGGACGCGCACCCTCTCCCTGGCATTATTGGCCATGCGCCTCTCCCGGTCCCTCAGGTCTTTGTCTTCCAGTGAGAGTGCCTCATCTGTACTGCTGGGTTCACACAGCCCCACGGGGAGTGTTAGTCTGGGGAGCGATGGAAGGACTCCGTGGGGCGGGTGGGCGGGTTTGGGGGGACGGTGCCAAGGTGGGCAGCGGGGGGGAAACGTCCACATCAGCGGCGAGCCAAGGTGGCACAGCACAACTGACGGATGATGAGGAAGAGGAGAGCCCTTTCGTTCCACCGCAGAGACAAGGAGCTGCCGAACGCCGCCCGTGCCATGCGCGCCCGTTTCGCAACACGGGCAAAACCAAACTCGAAAACCTTGCTGTCCCCCTATCCTCTGGGACGATACTCTTTTGGCACTTTGGAACCGTGGAATCGTAGAGGCGGAAGGGAGCCCCCCAGCGGTCATCCAGCCAAACCCCCTAGCGACGCAATGGTCTCGGCTCAAGCACCTGGGTAAAGTTGGGTACCCAGCTTCTGCTCGCAAAACTCCAAGGGAGACCGTTCCTCTTGGGGCAGCCGATTGCAGAAGCAACACAATAAATCGGGGACTCCTTTGGGTGTTTTTAGACTCCGGTTCCCATCAGCCCCAGCCAGCCGGCGTAGCCAATGGTCACGACGGGAGCCAGAGTCCCGCAAGATCTGGGTAAGTCGCTTAGCAGTTTCTCTAAGCCAGGGGTAGGCAGCCTAAGGCCTGGGTAGAATGTGCCCTTTTATTTAAAATGCACCTCTGGGTTATTTGTGGGCCCTGCCTGGTGTTTTTACACGAGTAGAATGTGTGCTTTGGACTGGGGAACTACCCGCTACTAGAACATGGGTAGGCAAGCCAAGGCCCGGGGGCCGCATCCGGCCCCACCGCCTTCTCAATCCGGCCCGTGGACTGTCCGGGAATCAGTGTGTTTTCATATGAGTAAAATGTGCCCTTTTATTTAAAATGCATCTCTGGGTTATTTGTGACGGCATAGGAATTCATTCATTTTTTCTTTCCAAAATATAGTCTGGCCCCCCACAAGGTCTGAGGGACAGTGGACCGGCCCCCTGCTGAAAAAGTTTGCTGACCCCTGGACTAGAACTTCTCTGTCTTATCCGTATTGAACTTCAGTTCAGGGAAGCAAGTCTGGGGAACCACCTGCTACTAGAACATGGGTAGGCAAACTAAGGCCCGGGGGCCGGATCCGGCCCCATCGCCTTCTAAATCCGGCCTGCTGACAGTCTGGGAATCAGCATGTTTTTACATGAGTAGAATGTGTCCTTTTATTTAAAATTCATCTCTGGGTTATTTATGGGTCCTGCCTGGTGTTTTTACATGAGTAGAACGTGTCCTTTAATTGAAAACGCACCTCTGGGTTATTTGTGGGGCATAGGAATTTGTTCATTTCCCCCCCTTCAAAATATAATCCGGCCCCCCACAAGGTCTGAGGGACGGTGGACCGGCACACGGCTGAAAAAGTTTGCTGACCCCTGGCCTAAGTCTAGCTACCCCTGAGTCCCTATTTTGTGATGTCAGTTTTGGACGTTTCAATGACAGCCCAACCGAACCGCGCCGGCCTTTAGAAATCTGAACCTCGCCGTTTGGAAGGAAGGAGATTGTCCTGCCCCCAGGGAGATTCGAGAGTGAATATCCCGGGGGGGGGGAGGGGTCCTCTGTTCAGAGCTGGAAAGGATGGGGTGAGATATGTCAAGACTGGGCAATGTCTCACATCCACCCCACAACTGACGGGTCTACTGCGACTGGAGGAGAAGCTCGGCTAAGACCACAACCCTGGTTGCGGTGGCACGTCCATCCTCCAAGGTTGCGGTCCCTCCCTATATATTCGCCATAATGAGCATTGTGCGGTTTACACGTAGAATTGTGGAGTTGGAAGGGACCCCCCAGTGCTCATCTAGTCTGACCCCATGACAGATGGCCACCCAACCTCCACTTAGAAACCTCCAATGGGAGGGAGAGCTTGCCAAATCCCAAGGGAGCCTGTTGCACTGCTTAAGGGCTTTTACTGTCAGATGATAATAACAACAATTATTTATATTATTTACACCCATCTGGCTGGGTTTCCCAGAAGAAGGTTGTTGTGATGAGTATTCATATTATTAAGAATGATCAGTGCTGTTTTTCTAGAAAAGGGTGGATGAGCTCACCTTGTTCTCTTAGAAAAAGTATTATTATTATTATTATTATTATTATTATTATTATTATTATTATTATCAATCAAAATCATCCAACACCCCCCAATTGCAAACCACGTTTATTCTCAACATCTGCAAACTTCCAGCTGTTTGCAAGGAGCGGAATCCACAAAAGCCATGGAAATAGCTCCTCCGTATAACATATGCTCTCAGCGGTTTCTCCCCAAATTTGGCCGAAAATGCAACTTAAAGAGAAGCCCGTCAAAGTTGCCTTTCCAGCGGAATTTCACCTGATTTGCAAGTGGGGGGGGGCAGGTTTGGAACAATTTTGATTGCGCCTATAGGTGTTGCCTAGAATCAATCTCTCCCGTCTCTTGGCATTTGATATCCAGACCAAGGCAGGAAAAAAACACCTACGCCTACCCTCAAAAGGTGTAAAGTGTGTCAGAATTTCGATGCTGGATCCGGCCCACAAGCGGACAAGACTTCCCTCACCTGCAATGTGCAAAAAAAGTAGTACCCACGGGCATCCACTGCATCCGACAAGAGGATGCGGACTAGTCCCATGTGGTTTAAGTAAAGGTAAAGGGACCCCTGACCGTTAGCTCCAGTCGTGGCCGACTCTGGGGTTGCGGTGCTCATCTCTCTTTACTGGCCGAGGGAGCCGGCATACAGCTTCCGGGTCATGTGGCCAGCAGGACTAAGCCACTTCTGGTGAACCAGAGCAGCGCACGGAAACACCGTTTACCTTCCCGCCGGAGTGGTACCTATTTATCTACTTGCACTTTGACGTGCTTTTGAACTTCTAGGTTGGCAGGAGCAGGGACCGAGCAACGGGAGCTCACCCTGTTATTGCGGGGATTCGAACCGCCGACCTTCTGATTGGCAAGTCCTAGGCTCTGTGGTTTAACCCACAGCGCCACCCACGTCCCCCCCCCATGTGGTTTGCATGCTTGCAAATTTTCGCTCGAAGCCACCTTATGCGTTGGCCTAGGACAGGCATGTCCAACAGGTGGATCGTGATCTACTGGAAAATTGCGGGGTGTTCCTGGTAGACCTTTGACCTTTCAGAGATCTCCTCCCCCCCAAAAAAAGGGGGGTGAGGAAGCTGAACAAGTGTGGCTTAAGGTTCAACAACAACTTTGCCTTTCCCCCAAAAATGCGCAACAACTTTGGCCCATGCAACGACAATGGCTAGATCGCTGCTAGGTTTTTTATTACTGCGAGTAGATCACAGTCTATTGGGAGCTGGCCTAGGAAGTTCATATTGCATTGGGGGGCAGCTGTGCCCCCGCTGGGACTTGATGGGGGGACGGGACCTGAATTTGGACACGGCACAAAGCTCAGACCCGTGCCGACATCGGACTCAGAACCAGCGCTGTTTCAGAGTCCCCCTGGTTTATTTGGTGGGAGGGACTGTTTAGGAAAAAAACCCCAAAACCTCAAGCAGGATTTGAGACAGAAGCAATGGAGGGGAAATATTAGGGGGGTTTCCATATTAGACGAGAGTTTGATATATACAGCGATGCCTCGGTTTCCAATAATCTCCGTTGATGAACGTTTCGGAACCCGAACGCTGTAAACCCGGAAGCAAACGATTCCGTTTTCGAACGTGCATAGGAAGTCAAACTTCCGTTGAGTTTTCTGTTTCAAGGCTCCCCTATCAGGTTTTCGAACCCGAACGGTCTTCCAGAACGGATGACGTTCGGAAACCGAGGTACTGCTGTATATAAGGCAGCGGGAAAGGGTTCGAACGAAAACACTGGGGAGGTTTGGGGCAGGAAGCCAACCCACGAAACTGTTTAATTTGAAGTCGACTTGGAAGTAGGATAAACATTGTATTATTAAAGAGAACGCGGTGGTTTTGAAACACTAGGAATCTTAACGTTTCCCTTTATTTCCAGGGGAAGTAATTTCCAGGGGGAAGGTTAGCGATGCACACTTTTTTAAAAAATAAAAAAGGCTGTGATTCATTTTTAAAGTTATGCAGCAGGGGGAGAAAATGCCTAAGCCTCTCTGTGGCTACAAAAGCGAGGGGGGTCATCCAGCGAACCTTAGAAAACTACCTTCCACCATTGGGCCCATTGAGACCAGTGTCGTCTGCACAGACTGGCAGCAATCGTTCAGGGTTTCAGAGAGGAAGTATTTGCCAGTCCCCAGCAGGAAATGCAGGGAATCGAACCTGCGACCTTCTGCAATCAGGACAGATGTTCTGCCTCTGCGTCCGTTCCCCAGAAAGCTGGATGCAGGGAGATTTGGAGAAAAGGAAGCGATTCTCCACGTAGCGACATAGCTAGCTAGTCTTTGAGATGAGCTACCCCAGACAAGTTTTTTTAATTATTATTCTTAGAAAACCTGCGAACCTGAGATTACGAGCCCCGTGCTTTGCCGACTGAGCTATCCCAGCAGACGGACGAGTCTTGGGTCTGACGCCGCTTGCAGATTGCTCCTGATGTTCTTATAAAAAGGTAAAGGACCCCTGGATGGTTAAGTCCAGTCACAGGCGACTATGGGGTTGTGGCGCTCATCTCGCATTCGGGCCGAGGGAGCCGGAGTTTGTCTGTAGACAGCTTTCCGGGTCATGTGGCCAGCAGGACTGAACTGCTTCTGGCGCATGACGGAATCCAGAGCGCACGGAAATGCTGTTTACCTTCCCGCCGGAGTGGTACCTATTTATCTACTAGCGCTGGTGTGCTTTCGAACTGCTAAGTTGGCAGGAGCTGGGACCGAGCAATGGGAGCCGGGATTCGAACCCAAGCCGAAGAGGCTCAGTGGTTTAGACCTGTGTCCCTGATGTTCTTATAAGGCTATTGATAACTACGAGTTACGCCGGCTGTCTATTCCTTCCAGTATCGGAGGCAGTCGCGGAGAGCAAGTGGGGAAGTTTGTTGTCAAACTCAGGGGGCTGTTCACTTTGGGGCACCTGCAAGAACAGGATTGGCAACCTGGTCCTTCCTACACTCTGCACATGCTCAGAAGACACACCCCACCCAACACAGTGCAATGTGATTTTCTAAACATGTACGTGCCCTTCTAAGGATTCCCCGCATCCCCTTCTCTTGTGTTCGTAGGGAACGCTGCTCCTTCGACCGGGGCTTCCTGCCTGTGGCTGGACTTCAAAAACCCGCCTCTGTCTGGAGGGCATGACATTTGGGACAACCGCGTCACGGGGGGTTGGACTGGATGACCCTCAGGGTCCCCCCATCTCTTACGATTCCACGGGCGACCCGTCTGCACCAAAAGGCTACAGCCGGACAGTGGGCCAAATCAGAGAGTTCTTCAGCTGGCCGGGTTTCGGCTCGGGGGCCAGCGGCCGACCCGTCCCCAAACACATCGCCTTTGGGAGCGTGGCAAAATAATAACTTTAAAAAGGAGATGCGCCAGAGACTTCAAGATTCGGGGAGGGTGCGCCTGCCTTTCTGCTCGTAGGCTATTCCTTCCCCCGCCCCGCTGCTGCCCGCCCGGGTTTTCCTGTTTCTCTGCGGACGCAGCAAGTACAAGGTACAGGGTTGGAACCACCGAGGGGGTCACGGCTGGGGTCTGTCTGTAGGAAAGCAGTGAAGGGGTGGCAGAGAGGGTGGCGGCAGCAAACAAAGCGTATACACGAGAGAAAGAGAGACCAGGGAAAACAAAATAAAAGAGTTATACATGTCGCGGCAGGCGAAAAGGGGAAATTAATGGAAGCTCCAGAATGGAAGGGGGAGAAGAACAGAAGAACGGGGCACAGGTTCTGTACGGTCGAAAACCAGGCGCGCTGCCCCTCTGTCCGCCCACCTCTGTCGAAGAGGAAACTGCATTGAACTCAAGATGCACCCATTTCACAGATTCCAAGGAAGGAAAAGTTAAGTGCTTGCATGCACAGCCAAGCAGGGGGAAAAGGACATTTGCAGAGAGAAAGGGAAAGCAGCCCGAACTCTCTTCCGCCTGGCAGAGAAGTGGGCACGCGTTTTTGCCTCCAGCCGAGCTCCCAGCCCGGCCCCCGGACTATTTCTGCGCAGATGATTTTATCCCTAAATTGGCAGCTGGGATGGAGGGACAAAGGTTGCAGAGAGAGGGGTGGTTTTCAAAATACAGCCGTACCTTTGATCTTGAACGCCTTGGCTCCCGAACGCTGCAAACCCGGAAGTGAGTGTTTGCAAACGTTCTTTGGGATCCGAACGTCCGGCGCAGCTTCCGATTGGCTGCAGGAAGCTCCCACAGCCAATCAGAAGCTGCGCCCTGGTTTCCGGACGTAAAACGGAGTTCCGGAACACATTACGTTTGAGAACCAAGGTACGGCTGTAATAATAAAAGACCAGGTTCATCTCTCCAGAGCATCTTTCACTGGTCTAAGATGTGGGGGTGCCTGCTATGACTTGTTTAGGGAAGCTTTTAATGTTTGATGTATTCCTGTATTTTAATGTTTGGTTGGAAGCCGCCCAGAGTGGCTGGGGAAGCCCAGCCAGATGGGCGGGGTATAAATAATAATAATAATTTTAAAAAGCAAAAACAAAACAAAGCTCGGACCGAGCGGCTTTCCCGCAACACAGGAGATCCCACGGGTGAATAGGTTTCCTCCCGCGCGATGGATCTTTCCCTCTCGTACACACACCCCAAATTTTTGCAGGGGGTTCCCCTAACTCTGCAGGGTACAGAGGGAAACTCACGGAGGGAGGACGGGGAAGTTTCACTCCACAAGAGGAAATCCTCCTGCGGACAGGAGAACTTGTTTGGATTAGCGTTGTCGTTGATCGAATTTGTATTTATTAAATTTGTGGCGTGCTTTGTGGAGCCCCCTCTGAGTCCGAAAGCCACGAGGGATGGAAATAGTTTTATTATTTCTTCCTATCCCCAGCAACAGAAGGAACAGCAGGCTAAGTAAAGGAGCTGGTTTCGAAACTCACTGCCACAAGGCAAGAAACACAATTAAGTACCGTATTTTTTGCTCTATCAGACTCACTTTTCCCCTCCTAAAAAGTAAGGGGAAATGTGTGTGCGTCTTATGGAGCGAATGCAGGCTGCGCAGCTATCCCAGAAGCCAGAACAGCAAGAGGGATTGCTGCTTTCGCTGCGCAGCGATCCCTCTTGCCGTTCTGGCTTCTGAGATTCAGAATATTTTTTTTCTTGTTTTCCTCCTCCAAAAACTAGGTGCGTCTTGTGGTCTGGTGCGTCTTGTAGAGCAAAAAATACGGCATTTCTTTAAAAGCAAGCCCCCGCCCCGTGCAAAAATTGGATGAGAAAAGCCAACAGTTTTCTTGGGGAAATACATAGGGATTTGCTGGAAAGGCGTCCGGTGGGATCTGCGCATAACCTACATGATCTTTCCGCCTCTCTGGAAAAACAAAAAACACCTCCCGTCTTTGATACGCAGCAATTCAGAGCCCCAAAGAGCTGCCCTTTTGCGCTACAGCCTTCCACCCTCTCCTTGCAAATCAGATTTATTATCAAAATCTGCAGTGTTCTCCAGTGGTTTGCAACCGGCATTTTCAGCTGAATTTTGGGGGGACCGCTTCTGGCGCCCAGCTTATTTCCACGGCTTCGTTTGCTCCTTTGCAAGCTGCCGGAAGCCTGCAAATGTTGATTGATCAACCTAATTTTGCAATGGTTGGGGGATGGAAGGATTCAGACTGTAGCTGTGTGTAGCAGTTTGGGACAGAAGAAAACGATAAATGCGGAAGCCCCCCTGGCAGAGGCGCGAGGGCTGACGGCATGCAGGAAGCGCAACGCTTGCTTTCCCTTATTTCTGGCGCGGGAAAAACAAAAAGGGGAAAAGCGAGGGATGCGAAAAGGCAGCAGAGAGAAGCAAAATGGCGGCGACCCGCTAAAACCCCACGACAACAGAGACCCCAAAATGGCAAACAAAAAAGGCGCGAAAGTTTCAAGGGGTTGGGGGAGGCGAGGGGGAGAACGCCAGCAGGATTTGGAGAGGTGCGCCAGGGACGGATTCGGGAGGACGAGACAGACAGCCCCTTGCCGCTCGGAAAACGTCACCACATCGGAAGCCTCCACTGACCTCTAACTTGTTGTTCCAGATTCAGGATAACCGAGACGGCCTGGTGTAGAATGAGCAGCTTGGTCTGCGGCTTTTCGCTGTTTAGGTGCAGCTGACACATGCGCCCCAGCTCTTTAAAAGCCTCGTTGATGTCGCGGACGCGGAGGCGCTCACGGGCGTTATTAGCCACCCTTCTCTCTTTCTCGCGCTCGGCTTTTTGCTCTGGGGGAAGGAGGTCGTCATCCTCGTCCTCATCTTGACTGATGGTTTGAAAGGAGAAGGAGACAAGGGGGGTGGGTGGGGGCCGTTTTTTCCACGCGGGCACACCTCGGCACCAGAACGCGTCGCACACAAATATGGGTAACGGGGATGCACAAAACAAACAGAGCAACCCACCACCCGCCACAATATAATATATTTTTTGCAATAACTGGAACGAACGTAAACCCAACATTTCCCGCCCACCGACCGCACTTCCCAGGGCCGGATGGTTTGCAAAGTGTGTCCCCGAAATTCACCCACCCCCCCGAAAGGAAAAAGCTGACTGGGTAAAATTGCAGTAAACCAATCGCTGTTCATATTTTTCCTATGAACCGCCATAGATTTCCCCCCATGGTGTTTTGGTCGCTACTGGTTTTTTTACTCCTCTCCCACACTTCATATATTGCCCTTCTCACAATCTGAATTAAGAATCCTTTGTGGGATTTAACCTCGTCGTGGCCTATGTAGCTATGTACACAATAGGAGTACCCTCCAATTTATGCGTGCGACTGCGTTTTACGATTTTGGGCGGGTTTTGTATACAGCCGCACCTTGGTTCTTGAATGGAATCCGTCCCACAAGTCCCGAAAACTGAGGCGCGGCTTCCGATTGGCTGTGGGAAGCTCCTGCGGCCAATCGGAAGCGGCGTCAGACGTTCGGATCCCAAAGAACATTTGCAAACCCGAACACTCACTTCCAGGTTTGCGGTGTTTCGGGAGGCGAAATGTTTGGGTCGCAAGGCATTCGGGAACCGAGGTACAACTGTAGAAGTATTTACCGTATTTTTTTGCTCTGTAAGACTCACTTTTTCCCTCCTAAAAAGTAAGGGGAAATGTGTGTGCGTCTTATGGAGTGAATGCAGGCTGCGCAGCTATCCCAGAAGCCAGAACAGCAAGAGGGATTGCTGCTTTCGCTGTGCAGCGATCCCTCTTGCTGTTCTGGCTTCTGGGATTCAGAATATTTTTTTTCTTGTTTTCCTCCTCCAAAAACTAGGTGCGTCTTGAGGTGCGTCTTATAGAGCGAAAAATACCATATATTTTTTTCCTGATAGGGTTTGTATGGTTTTGCCATGGCCTCTGGCTAGTACAACAAAGCTTATTTATGGTGCGCGCCCACCCCCAAAAAGCCCCCGGGAGATTCTCGGAAGAGGGGGGTGTTTGCTTTGGGTGAAGCGTCCGGAAAATCTGATTCCCACCAGTGCTGCGGAAAGGCTCTTCCAACAGCTGTCGACTTTCCCCTTTTCTTGCGAGAAATCCTATTCGGAATAAAGGGATTTCCCTTTAAAAAAAGGCAGCTATGGCTCTTCCATCCACCCTAGAATTCCCCCCGGGACAGGAGACGGGGCAGTTACTCCCGGGACACAGTTTGGAAACCACCGAGCTCGCGACTGCGAGGGCAAATGCAGCGCCTTTTGCCACCCTACCCAAACCGCCTGTGAGCAGGGAGCAAAATACGAAACACGGACACAGGCAATAAATAAATTTTGAACACACACATGACGTCCATGCAAACATCTATAGGTTCGTCAGCAGGGCTGCAAAACGCCATCACCCCCAGAAAGCTCGGAGGGCGACGTTGCTCTTCCCCTTTCCCCCAAAAAGCGAGTCTCTCCTGGGGGTGTTGGAAGCGAGCTGGTTTCCTCGCTTTTCCATCCCTGCTCACCAAGTCGTCATCCGTCCCCCCCCCTCCAACCTCCCGTCCGTCAAGGGGCTGCCCCAAAGACCTAGGATCCTGGGGGTCTCCCTGCGCCGCCCCCCCGGAAAGGGAACAGAGAAAGGGCTGAGACCTGTTCAACGAGCACCTTGTTCGGTTTCGCGACGCCTTCAGCTCCTTCTTCTCCTCCTCCGAGTTGTCGGCCACCGACGTGTTCTCGTCGTCTTCCTTGTCCTCGCGCTTGATCTCGCTGGTGCCCGACGAGACGCTGGCCCGGCCCAGGCCCCCCGTCAAGCCTGGAGAGGGAGTCAGACGGGCAAAAGTGAGAGACAAGGCAGGGGACCGGAGCCTTTGAGATCTCGGCGCGTCTGCTGCAGCGCAAGAGCTAGAAATTTGCCTTTCTTTCTTAAAAACCAAAAACGAAATTTCTCCCTCCAAACTTGAAACTTTTATTTCAGGGATTAACAGGGATTTATCTACTTGCACTTTGACATGGTTTTGAACTGCTAGGTTGGCAGGAGCAGGGACCGAGCAACGGGAGCTCACCCCGTCATTGCGGGGATTCGAACCGCCGACCTTCTGATCGGCAAGTCCTAGGCTCTGTGGTTTAACCCACAATGCCACCCGCGTCCCTTAGTGCTGGATTTATGTATAAGCTAAACAAGCTATAGCCCCGCTCTCTTGGCCCCCCCAAAAAATTCAAAACCACTGGATGTACATTTCCAAAATACAAGATAAAAAACAAATAAAACCTACATCCAGCAACAGTGTTTTGTGTTGTGTTGGCTCCTAGGAGGTAAGTCATGGCCTGCTAGCCTGCTTCTTAAAATATCACTGGTTTGCTTCTTTCTACATATGGCTTGAGATACCCATTAGGTCCATCAATGGCCATACAGAATATATTCAACACAAAAAACAGTGGCAATTTGTTGTGGACAAAGGGCAGCTGGACATATAAAGGGCCCCATGACCTTCAGGAGCTTAAAAGGTAAAGGGACCCCTGACCATTAGGTCCAGTCGTGGCCGACTCTGGGGTTGCGGCGCTCATCTCGCTTTACTGGCCGAGGGAGCTGGCGTACAGCTTCCTGGTCATGTGGCCAGCAGGACTAAGCCGCTTCTGGCAAACCAGAGCAGCGCACGGAAACGCCGTTTACCTTCCCACTGGAGCGGTACCTATTGATCTACTTGCACTTTGACGTGCTTTCGAACTGCTAGGTTGGCAGGAGCAGGGACTGAGCAACGGGAGCTCACCCTGTCGCAGGGATTTGAACCGCCAACCTTCTGATTGGCAAGTCCTAGGCTCTGTGGTTTAACCCACAGCGCCACCCGCGTCCCTTCCAATCCCCATGTTACACCCCCCAAACTACATCACTCATACATCATGAAAGGGGAGGTCTCAGAAATCTGAGCATCCTGGACCCTGCCCCATGGTTCCCCATCCTTCGAACCGCCAACCTTCTGATCGGCAAGTCCTAGGCTCTGTGGTTTAACCCACAGCGCCACCTGGGCATCTTCACCCGGTGTGCAAAACGCGCCGGGTGAATTTCGGCCAATGTTATATATATCGCCCGCCCTAACGGTCCTCCTGGACCAGAACGCCGATTTAGCTGCAATCCCTGCAATTCAAGGGGGTTCAGATAGATGCTCCTCCGTTGCCCCGGCAAGAACGCCAGGACTTTTGAGCCCCATGGGGAGGAAAGAGGACGGCGTGGCGAAACCCGCCACTCAACCTTACCGCTGAAGGCATCAGAAGACTGGCCTCTGTTGAGGTCCGGGAGCGAGCTGGGCTGGGCTGGGAGAGGGCCGTGATTGTGAAGGAGACTGGGGTTGCTGGGAAGGCCGTCTTCCGAATGGCCCCCCGCCACCTGAAAGAGCAAAGGGAGAGCCACGCGTTATTTTTTAAAAATAGTTTTTATTTATACGAAGCTGAGTGAGAGATTTTACTTTCTTGGGCTCCATGATCACTGGAGATGGTGACAGCAGTCACGAAATTAAAAGATGCCCCTTCTTGGGAGAAAGGCGATGACAAACCCAGACAGCATCTTAAAAAGCAGAGACATCACCTTGCCAACAAAGGTCCGTATAGTAAAAGCTATGGTTTTCCCAGTAGTGAGGTATGGAAGTGAGAGCTGGACCATAAAGAAGGCTGATGGCCGAAGAATGGATGCTTTTGAATTCTGGTGCTGGAGGAGACTCTTGAGAGTCCCATGGACTGCAAGAAGATCAACCTCTCCATTCTGAAGGAAATCAGCCCTGAGTGCTGACTGGAAGGACAGATCCTGAAGTTGAGGCTCCAAGACTTTGGCTACCTCATGAGAAGAGAAGACTCCCTGGAAAAGACCCTGATGTTGGGACAGATGGAGGGCGGAAGGAGAAGGGGACGACAGAGGAGGACGAGATGGTGGGACAGTGTTCTCGAAGCTACCAGCATGAGTTTGACCAAACTGCGGGAGGCAGAGGAAGACAGGAGTGCCTGGCGTGCTCTGGTCCAGGCGGTCACGAAGAGGCGGACACGACTAAACAACAAATTTATACTTCTCAAGTTTACACATTTCGTGACAGTGGGACCTTGGTTCTCAAGCGCCAAAAACCCAGATGTGAGTGTTCCGGTTTTCGAATGTTTTACGGAAGCCGAACGTCCCACACGGCTGTTTCTGGGGCGCCTCCGCCAATCAGAAGCCGCGCCTCGGTTTCCGAACCTTTCGGAAGTCAAACGGACTTCTGGAACGGATTAAGTTTGGCGCTTTTGTTATTTATTTTGCAGTTTTGTATTTGAGGCTTTTTCAGTTCTTTTGTTTTTGTGCCTGTATGGAACCCAGTCCAGCTACCAACTGAGTGATTGTGTTGCTGAGGAAATGGATAAAAGCCCCCCATCCAAACAATGACTGTCATCAGTGCAGGTAAAGGAAAAAAGTGTAATTTTAATTTTTATCATCTACAATACTGTCTTATTTATTTTATAGCACAGCACACTGATTATTGCTTTCATTTTATGGATCCATGGTCTCATTAGATAGCAAAATCCATGTTCAATTGCTGTTTTAGGGGTTGTTTTTAAAAGTCTGGAACGGATTAATCCGTCTTGCATGACTTTCTATGGGAAAGCGCTGCCTCGGTTTTGGAACGCTTTGGTTTTGGAATGGAATCCATATTCAGTTGCTGTTTTAGGGGTTGTTTTTAAAAGTCTGGAACGGTACAATCCGGATTGCATGACTTTCTGTGGGAAAGCGCTGCCTTGGTTTTGGAACGCTTTGGTTTTGGAACGGGTTAAGTTTGAGAACCAAGGGACCACTGTGTAACGGTTTGAGCAACCTAACTTTCATTACAGGGGGAAAAGAGAGAATAAAATATTATCATATATCAAAAATTCGACACTGCAAAAGGATGGGCTGGCAGCCTCGCCTCTCCCCTTACCAGGTTCGAGTGCCGATTGGCGATTGGCAAGACAGAGGCGGGAGGGAAGGATTGGCTGAGACTGCCCACCGTGGTGCCGTGAGCCGACGCCGCCGACGCCAGCAAGTCGTGGATATCCCTGTGGTTGCTCTGCCCCACCGCGTGGTTCCGCAGGACGTGGATGGCTTCGTCCAAGTGGTCTTCCATCTTGTTTTGCTTTGGGGGAGAGAAACGAGAAAGGGAATCAGCCAAGCTGGTTTGCTCCTTGCTCCGGAGGGTAAGACTCGAACCCGTGGCTCCAAGGGACGAGGAAGGAGATTCCCACTCAGCGTGGTGGAGCTTTTTAAGCAGAGGGTGGGTGCCCATCTGTCAGCGGAGATTGCTGCATTGCAGGGGGTTAATAATAATAATAATAATAATAATAATAATTTATTTATACCCTGCCCATCTGGCTGGGTTTCTACAGCCACTCTGGGTGGCTTCCAGCAAAATATTAAAATACAATAATCTATTAAACATTAAAAGCTTCCCTAAACAGGGCTGCCTTCAGATATCTTCTAAAAGCCAGATAGTTGTCTATTTCCTTGACATCTGAAGGGAGCCACAGGGAGGGCGCCACCACCGAGAAGGCCCTCTGCCTGGTTCCCTGTAACTTGGCTTCTCGCAGGGAGGGAACCGCCAGAAGGCCCTCGGGAGATGGACCCCGGTGTCCGGGCTGAATGATGGGGGTGGAGACGCTCCTTCAGGGATACTGGACCGAGGCCGTTTAGGGCTTTCAAGGTCAGCACCAACACTTTGAATTGTGCTCGGAAACGTCCTGGGAGCCAATGCAGGTCTTTCAGGACTGGTGTTATGTGGTCTCAGTGGCCACTCCCAGTCACCAGTCTGGCTGCCGCATTCTGGATTAATTGTAGTTTCTGGGTCACCTTCCAAGGTAGCCCCACGGACAGTGCATTGCAGTAGTCCAAGCGAGAGATAACCAGAGCATGCACCACTCTGGCCAGACAGTCTGCAGGCAGGAAGGGTCTCATCCTGCGTCCCAGATGGAGCTGCCCTGGACACAGAACTGACCTGCGCCTCCATGGACAGCTGTGAGTCCAGAATGACTTCCATGCTGCGCACCTGGTCCTTTGGGGGCACAGTCACCCCATTGAGGACCAGGGAGTCCCCCACACCCACCCACCCAGATGGGCAAGGTATAAATAATAAATTATTATTATTAATATTCCCGCATCGGAGTGGGTTTAGGCCGGATGACCCAACTTTACGATTCCAGGAGTCTATGAATCACATCACGAGGTCCCTTTTCCGGAAGCGGAGGGAAACGGGAAGGATGCTTACCAAAGTATGAAGTGTCCCTTCGTAGCTTGGAGATAAGGCACCCTGTCCGCCAGCCCGGGGCCACTGCGAAGAACCTAGGGGAGAAGGAATATAAGAAAGTTGGTGCCAGGTGCCCAGGACAAAACACAGAGGATGCTGGCAAGATTTCTTTCTTTCGTAAAACACTTACAAACTTTAAAAAGCAACCTCGAGGCTGCTTTCAAAGAGAGCCAAGCCACGACGTTGTCGGTCAAAATAATAATCAAAAGCCGCAGTGTAAAACCGTGCAAAGGTAATTAAATTTAATGGGGGGACGGAGATTAAAATGAACGCCAACACTCAACAGGTCTGAACGTTTTGCCTGAGCAAAGTCCGCCTTCTAAAAAGCCTTCTAAAAAGCAAATGCCTTGGTACCCAAACAACGTGGAACCCAAACACTGCAAACCCAGAAGTAAGTGTTCTGGTTTGCGAACTTTTTTCGGAAGCTGAACGTGCTCCGCTTTGAGTGTTATGCTTCCGACTTGAGTGCGATCTGCTGTTTTTGCTATTTATTTTGCGTTTCTGTTTTTGCGGCTCTTTTTGTGTGACTGCGTGGAACCCAGTCCAGCTACTGATGGACTGATTGCATGACCGCAGTACAGTGGTACCTCAGCTTACATACGCTTCGGGTTACAGACGCTTCAGGTTATAGACTTCGCTAACCCAGAAATAGTGCTTCAGGTTAAGAACTTTGCTTCAGGATGAGAACAGAAACCGTGATCCGGCGGCGCGGCGGCAGCGGGAGGCCCCATTAGCTAAAGTGGTGCTTCAGGTTAAGAACAGTTTCAGGTTAAGAACGGACCTCCGGAACGAATTAAGTACTTAACCTGAGGTACCACTGTACACTGTTTATTGCTTTATTTTATGGATCGACGGTCTCGCCAGATAGTAAAATCCACGTTCAATTGCAGTTTTAGCAGTTGTTTTTAAAAGCCTGGAACGGATCGATCCGTTTTGCATTGCTTTCTATGGGAAAGCATGCCTTGGTTTGGGAACGCTTTGGTTTTGGAACAGACCTCCGGAACGCATTAAGTTTGAGGACCAAGGGACCACTGCAATAGCCTTTTTCTTTTTAAAAAGCCTGCTTCTTTAGGGGGGTGGTCCTAATCTCATGCTCTAGGTGGGCACTCCAGGACGTATTCTAGGGTTGCTACATAAACCCGCCCCCCCGCAAAAAATAAATAAATGCAAAAAGCTCACCTGTTATTCCCTGAGGGGACCCCACCGGTGTGGATGGGTTCGAAGAGAAATTATTGCTAGAGTGATCTGGGGAGTAGATCTGAAAAAGGGGGGAACAAAGTCAACAAGAACACTCCAGTATTGGGAGTACTACAATATATCCAAAACAATATGTTTTATACAGCTATAATATATCCAAAACAATGGGGAGAAATTGGAAGGATCTCAAAAGCGAAGATAGACAGGGACTGGAAGGTGTTTAAAGGACACTTGCAAAACCATATCGAAAAATCAGAAGTCCTGTTAGAATAAACAAGTTCCGTTTTAAATACTGGAATACTGAATAAGATGGATAACAATGTGCAATAGAAAAAGAAGCGTGAAATTAGGTTAAAGGTGTGTGAAAGAAGGTAATAGAAGTGGAAAGAAATTGCAATTGAGTAGATTGGAAGTCTAACACAAGGGTGGGGTGAGGGATGGTGATGGAAAAAGGAATTATCTGCGGGATTGAGTGTAAGTATGTTTGAACACTTTTAAGGATTGTATGAAATGTATGTTTGTATGCTTGTATATTTGCAATATATGTGCATTAATGCCGAATTATTTTAACAATAAAAACTTTTCCAAAAAAAAAAGGAGAGAAAAAAAGCAACAACGAAAAGGTTTTGTCTTCTTTCCGGGAGCCAGGCAAATAATAGAGGGTGGGCCCTTTTATTCCCCCAAAAGGCAAAGCTTCTCTTACATTTTTCGGGAAAGGGACACTTACCGAAGCCAATGCTTTCCCAAGCGCATCTCCTGAACTTCCAGCAGTGGTTCCTCGGTTACCTGGCACAAGAGGAAAGGAGGAGGGTGAGGGAGAAGGAAAACTGGCGCACGCGAAAGGAGAATTGCCCGTGGAAATGTGGAGCTAAGGCAGCTGCTTCAATCAGGCCCGATTCATTTTAAATACTCAAGCAGGGATAGATTTATTCAGTGTGGTGTTTTTTCTGGGGGAATACCCCTAATCGTTTTGTGAATCTCTGTACTTTTGTCCATTTACTGTCTTTATTTCCCCCGATTTGAACTATAAAATGGTGGTTTTCTTGAGCCAAAACGAGAGTACCCCCCTAACATTTTTTTAAGAGAACTGGATTTAGGAACACCCGTTACCCAAAGGCTAAAAAGGGAGGTAAACATTGCGGCAAAACCAAATGGAAACTTTGGACGTCGAGGGAAAATAGTCCTTCTCGCGACAAGAAATAACTAGAGTCGTTTCACGGTCACAATTGATAATCGCCATCGTTATTAGGCTGTTGCACCGGTTGTCGAGCTAATGGAATAGAATAGGGAGAGAAACGAAGGTTCGTAACCGAAAATGCAAAAATAAAAGCCGAGGGAAGAGAAGAGAGATTAATAGCCACTGGGGTTTTGCAAGCAGGGTTTTGCAACAGGTTCATTGCAGGGTGAGGGAGATTAGCACGTCCTGTCTTTCAAGCCCCTTCACCCGTGTGTGTGTGTGTGTTTTCTCACAACAGAGCCCCATGCCTTTCGGAGCCTTGCTCCGACCATGACGCCCCTTCCTGCCCCCGCCCCGTCCAAGTAACCCCCTCCTCCTCAACTTGTGCAACGGGCCTGCATTTTGCCCCACGATTGCGTCTTTATTTCTGGGTCTGTGTATGTGTGTGGAATTTGCACGCTCAGAGACGAGCACCCTCCACCGTCCCGGGTGCAAAAATGGGGGAAAAAATGCATCGCTCTCCCTGCAAAGACGCCGTCCGGTTACCCCGTGGCAAAGACAGGCGTGCTGAAAGCACAAATCATATTATATATATACCGTATTTTTCATTTTATAAGACACACTTTGCCCCTCCTATAAAGTAAGGGGAAATGTGTGTGTGCGTCTTATGGAGCGAATGCAGGCTGCGCAGCTATCCCAGAAGCCAGAACAGCAAGAGGGATCGGTGTGCAATGATCCCTCTTGCTCTCCCAGCTTTGCTTCGCTGGAGAGGCGCTGTGCAGAGAGGGAGAGAATATTTTTTTCCTGTTCTCCTCCTCTAAAACTAGGTGCGTCATATGGTCGGGTGTGTCTTATAGAGCGGAAAATACGGTATATAAAATAAACCTTCCGTTTCTCCTCCCGCTTTGCTGGAAAGGCGCTGAGCAGAGAGGGAGAGAACATTTTTTCCCTTGTTCTCCTCCTCTAAAACTAGGTGCCCTCTTATGGTCGGGTACGTCTTACAGAGCGAAAAATACGGTATATAAAATAAACCGGCTTCCAATTCCCAAGCAGAGGGAGGCTGCGTGCTTGCGGCTGCCGTACAAGGGGGGAGGCATTAGCGCCGGACGGCCCCTAGACAGCGGCTTAGACCCAAACGCATCTATTTCCGAAGCACTAATGGCTTTCCGACACTCCCCAAGAGATTAACCTACATCCAGCAGGAAAGGATGAGAATGGGAGGGGTGGGGGGGCGGAGTGCCGGCAGAAGGAAAAGGCCAGAAGAGGGTGTTTTTTTTTGCACCTGAGGCAGGTGACGGAAAGGAAATAAACCTGCAGGGAACCTAGGTTTGGAACTGCCCCCCAAAAGATGTTAGATTGTTTTTCTGTGCCACAACTGCAGCTAGAATTTTGTTAGCCAAGAACTGGAAAACACAAGGAGTCCCAACAGTGGAAGAATGGCAGATGAAGATGATGGACTTTTCGGAGCTAGCCGACTGGACCAGAAGACTCTGCGACCAGGAGGAGGAGGAGCACCAGAAGGAACGGATGAAATTCAAAGACTATTTATCCAAATATGCTAAGATAACTTAATTGGGAAAAACTTGCAAATACCAGATAGGCTTAGGATTTAAATATGCGACGTTAGAGAATAATATGTTTAAAGTCAAAATGGAAACAAAGAAAGATGTTAAGGGATTAACTCAATTTTATGAGACAATTGTTTTTGGAAAACCGTTACAGTGATATACACTGAAATTCAGCCGGGGGGGTCACTTAACAATATTGCTAAGATTGGATCAAGTACAGTTAAGATGTATGTATGTTTGTTTGTTTATATTTTTTTGGAAAACCAATAACTTTTTTTGGAAAAACCACAAACCTGCGGGGAACCCCCCCCCCGGTCCTTGCAAATAAACCGCCCCCCCTCCCCGATTCCTTGTGGACATCAGGGCAGCCGGGAAATTCGGTTTTCTGATCGTGAGATTTGCTGGCGCACGTTAGCAACGCTAAGCAGGGTCCGGTCCGGTTTCGGATTGGATGGCATAGCTGTCAACTTTCCCCCTTTCGTGCGAGGAATCCTATTCAGAATAAGGGAATTCCGCTTTTAAAAAGGGAAACGTTGACAGCTATGTTGGATGGTGCCAGATGATATCCTGAGAGTCCCTTATCCTGACGCTACGATTAGACGGTAGGCGTCGAAGGGATCTATGGAAGCGGTCCAACCAAAACCAATTTTCTCTGTCCTGCCCTGTGTCCCAAACGCATCATTGCGCCTAGAGGCTAATCTCCCCCCAGTAGAAATATGGATCTGGCGCAGGACACTGAACTCTTGGCTTTGCCTAAACTCAAATTCCCCCGATCTAAGATTCCAAAAGCGCCTGGTCTAAAATGGTCTATCAAAAACTTCACTCTTGTGGTTTATCACCACAACAGCTACTCATCATTTAGGCGCTGACAAATTAGGTGGTTTGCTTTGCCTAAATGATATCGAGGGTCAGAACAACTTGGCCACAATAAGGAAATTTTGCCCATGGTTTGGCTATTTTCCACCTTCCCATTTCGACTCTCCGGCACCCTATCTGCATAACCGAGGTATCCTAAAATATAGACGCGCTTTGACTCTCGCGAGATTGAATGTCTTGCCCCTGCCTGGACTTGAGGGACGATTCCAACAGATGCCACACGAAAAACACAAGCGCCTCCAACTTTGGCCTGCAAATTTCTGGAACGCAATCCTCGATTATCAGCAACAACAGGAAAAATAAAATAAAAAGGAAAGGGTTTGGATACGAACCCATGACGCTCTCCGTCCCGCTGATGGGGGGCGTGTGGCTGGAGACTCCGTACTGGTTGGAGGCCGAGGAAAAGCCCGAGACCGAAGGGAGTCCGCCGTTCACTTCTCCTGAATGCATCGGGTAGTTCTGCAAGGGGACAAAGGGGTCAACCGGTTTTCTTAGTAAAATTGCCCCAGAAGATTCCTGGACATTTTAGCTACCATTCAATCATTTTCATCGGGCTATATCTGGGACGCGGGTGGCGCTGTGGGTAAAAGCCTCAGCGCCTAGGACTTGCCGATCGCATGGTCGGCGGTTCGAATCCCCGCGGCGGGGTGCGCTCCCGTCGTTCGGTCCCAGCGCTTGCCAACCTAGCAGTTCGAAAGCACCCCCGGGTGCAAGTAGATAAATAGGAACCACTCCAGCGGGAAGGTAAACGGCATTCCGTGTGCTGTGCTGGCTCGCCAGATGCAGCTTGTCATGCTGGCCACGTGACCTGGAAGTGTCTGCGGACAGCGCTGGCTCCCGGCCTCTTAAGTGAGATGAGCGCACAACCCTAGAGTCGGACACGACTGGCCCATACGGGCAGGGGTACCTTTACCTTTATATCTGGGAAATTTTGTGCGTATGGACTTCTGGTGGTTCCCTCCCTGCGAGAAGCGAGGTTGCAGGGAACCAGGCAGAGGGTCTTCTTGGTGGTGGCGCCTGCCCTGTGGAACGCCCTCCCACCAGATGTCAAGGAGCTAAAGAACTATCTGACTTCTAGAAGACATCTGAAGGCAGCCCTGTTTAGGGAAGTTTTTAATGTTTGATGTTTTACCGCGTTTTTAATATTCTGTTGGGAGCCGCCCAGAAACCCAGCCAGATGGGTGGGGTAAAAATAATAAATTGTTATTATTATTATTATTAGTAAAGGTAAAGGGACCCCTGACCATTAGTTCCAGTCATGGCCGACTCTGGGGTTGTGGCGCTCATCTCGCTTTATTGGCCAAGGGAGCCGGCGTACAGCTTCCGGGTCATGTGGCCAGCAGGACTAAGCCGCTTCTGGCGAACCAGAGCAGCGCACGGAAACGCCGTTTACCTTCCCGCCGGAGCGGTACCTATTTATCTACTTGCACTTTGAGGTGCTTTCGAACTGCTAGGTTGGCAGGAGCAGGGACCGAGCAACAGGAGCTCACCCCGTCATTGCGGGGATTCGAACCGCCAACCTTCTGATTGGCAAGTCCTAGGCTCTGTGGTTTAACCCACAGCGCCACCCGCATCCCTATACCCCCCCCAAATCTGTGCCATTACCATCCTTTCGTGCTGATGAAGACTGCTGAAGTTGCCGGATTGCGGGAGAGGAGAGGATGACGCTCCCAGGATGGCCCCGTAATTGGACTGGCTGATGGAGGTTGAGGAATTCCACAAGTCCGCCGAGTTGTGAAGTCCATCTGTGAGACGTGGACAAAGAAAGAGGGTTTCTTTTCTCCTCTCCATTAAAAAAAATTAAATAGTTATGCTTTTCAAATTTATACATTTCACTAATTTTGAAAAAAATACATTGAATTTGGCATAGCTCACTCTTGCCCCCTAGTGTCGCATTTGTGTATTGTGCTTTGCAACACGTTTATAAAGCGTTTTACTTGCAGCTGTGTAGCTGAATCCAGAAAGAGAGAGAGAGAGATAGATAGAAAGAAAGAAAGACACACACACAGAGAGACAGAGAGAGAGAGAGAGAGAGAGAGAGGAAGGAGAGGAAGAAATCCTCATTAAATGTTTGTAGCTCTTGTTCTCTGTGAAAATGGCTTTTTTTAAAAAAAAAGTTTTGAAAATTACATTGAATTTGGCATAGGTTGCTTTCGCCATCTAGTGTCGCTTTTGTGTTTTGTGCTTTGCAACACATTTAAAGTGTTTTACTTGCAGCTGTGTAGCTGAGTCCAGAAAGAGAGAGAGAGAGAGAGAGAGAGAAAGAAAGAAAGAAAGAAAGAAAGAAAGAAAGAAAGAAAGAAAGAAGAGAAAGACACACACACACACAGAGAGAGAGAGAGAGGAGGAGGGAGGGAAAGAGAGAAAGAGAGAGAGAGAGGAGGGAGGGAAGAAAGAAAGAAAGAAAGAAAGAAAGAAAGAGAAAGAAAGAAAGGGATAGAAAGAGACAGAGAGGAGGAAAGAGAGAGAGAGAGAGAGAGAGAGAGAGAGAGAGAAAGAGAGAGAGAGAGAGAGAGAGAAGGAAAATTGTCTTTAGGGCAGATCTGGGAACCATCAGTGACCCTCCCGAGGGCCACTTTGAGTTGCCGCCCAGTAACAACCCGAGGGCCACAAATGCTTCCCCCTCCTGGCCCCTGGGGTCAGGGTCCCTCCCCGACTCGAATCCCCATGCTCTGGAGGCCCACCTCGCAGGGGGGTCGTACCTGGCATGTAAAAGGCTCCAGGGTAGACAGTGCTGGGGGCTTTGGATGGGGGGTAGCTGGCCGGTTCCCTGCTATAGTCGTCACCTGAGTTGGGTGGATATACCTGTGAAAAGAGAGGAAAAAACGGGAAAAGTCGTCACCCATTTAATCCCCAGCCGGCAGCATCTGCGGAGTCCGTGCCGAGTGCGAATCCCGACCACCTCTGGAGGAACCCACGATTCCCGGGCCAAGGAGTTTTCAAAGTTTTATTCTGTTTATTATTATTATTATTATTATTATTATTATTATTATTATTATTATTATTCTGTCCCCCCCTTCTTTTCCCCTAGAGCCAAAATGAGCAGGGCATCAAGAACAATTTAAAAATTATTAATAATTGGAGGCTCGCAGATCTAATAATAATAATAATAATAATAATAATAATAATAATAGCTGTTTACTTGGTCAATTTCCTATGTCGTGAAGGCTGAAATTGCAGTTCGGTGGAGCAGGGTCAAGATATTAACTGATACGCATGAAATTTCATATATAGCTATATAATCCCTAGTGTAGTAAGATAAGACCTTTGAAGGAGGCATTAAAAAAAAATAAGTTTTTCATGAACTGCCCTAATATGGATCCTTTATGTGCTCCACATTCCTTCTTAAATCGCACCCAGGGTGTTTTTGTGGGGGGGACGGACTAAATTTTTTTGGGGGGTGCGTATTCAGAAATGACCGATTCTGAGACGCCCAAAAACCACAAAACCGAAACTGGCGTCACGAGTTTCAAAAGGAGCAGAATTTGGGCCTCCGGGAAGATTCTCAGACTCTTTTAAAATGACGTGGACCTTTCGCTCGCTTTGCATATATCACGGGGGGGGCAGAGTGGGGAGAACGGTTCGCGCCCCCCCCCAAGTTTTGATGACGACAATCTTGCACCCATGCTAAACAGCCTTTTTTTAAAAAAATGCTATTTTTTAAAATACCCCCCCACCCAACTTGAATTTGCAGGGACCCAAAAACGAATAATAATAACAAACGATTCCAAAATCGTACACGCCCCCCCTCCAAGTTTTGATGGCGAGAATCTTGCACCCATGCTAAACAGCCTTAAATTTAAAAAATCGCTTCTTTTTTAAAAAGCCACCCAACTTGAGGTGGGGACGAATTTGTAGGGAACCAAGGAAAAATAATAATAATAAACGGTTCAAAAATCGGGCACGCTGCCCCTCCAAGTTTCGACGGCGAGAATCTTGCACCCATGCTAAACAGCCTTAAATTTAAAAAAAATGCTTCTTTTTTTTTTAAAAAAAACCACCAAACTGAGGTGGGGACGAATTTGCAGGGAACCAGGAACAAGTAATAATAATATGATTCCAAAATCGTATACACACACCCCCTCCAAGTTCCGATCACGTTTTTTTTTAAAGGATCTTGCATCCAGGCTAAGCAGCCTTTAAAAAATGATAATATAATCTTGCATTTTATTTTATTTTAAAGCACCCAACTCGAGGGGGACGGATTTGCAGGGAATAAAGTAAAAATACGATCTCTTCCCCCCACACACATTTTCCCCTCCTGCAGCGTGTTCTGTGTAGTGGAGCGAGAGGTGCAGGGTTTTTTTTTTGGGTGGTGGTGGGGTGAAGAGGGAGAAAAAAAAGAGAGGGGAGTTCGGAGCGGGGGGAACCGTCGTCGTCTGCAAAGAATAAGAAACCCGGCAAATTGCATTTTCCTATAATTTGATTACATAGCAGGAGCCGGGGAGCGGAGCAGGAATAATAGCTCCGTGCCATCTGCCAGGGCTTGGCAGGCTGCCAGATTTGCAGGCAGCTGCGCGGGGATGGGGGGGGCGCGAGGAGGAGGAGGAGGGGGGAGGCCCCCAAAATAAAACAAAATAAAGAGGGTGGAGGCAGTGGAAAAAGGAGCAGCGTCAAAAACAGGGGGGTGCAAAGGGAGAAAACCCCAATATAAGGGGAATCTGCAAACAGGAGGGTGTGTTTGTGCATGCAATGGCAATGTGTCGTCGTTCCCCCCCCCCCCCGAAAAAAAAATTCTGCAAACTGAAGCAAGGATGATTCCTTCGCGGGGAGAATAAAATAACTATGCAGTTTTCGAATCAGAGAAAGGAGAATTCTTTGCAGACTTGCCTTCTGCGGTCTTTTTTTGGGGTACCCCAATTGACAATGTGTGTCCTCCCCCCCAAAAAATTATGCAAACTGAAGCAAGGATGATTCCTTCCCCCTTCCCAGGAAAAAAATAAATAACTATGCAGTTTTCGAATCAGAGAAAGGAGAATTCTTTGCAGACTTGCCTTCTGCGGTCTTTTTTGGGGTACCCCAATTGGCAGTGTGTCGTCCCCCCCAAAAAAAATAATAATTCTGCAAACTGAACAAGGAAGATTCCTTCCCAGGAAAAGAAAAATAACTATGCAGTTTTCGAATCGGAGGAAAAAAGAATTCTCTACAGGCGTGCCTTCTGCGGTCTTTTTGGGGGTACCCCAATTGACAATGTGTCCCCCCCCAAAAAATTCTGCAAACTGAAGCAAGGATGATTCCTTCCTGGGGGGTGGGGGTGGGAAATAACCATGCAGTTTGCGAATCGGAGAAAGGAGAATTCTCGGCCACTATTGCCTTCGTCTTTTTGGGGGGGAGGGGGATAAGATTGGGGGGGCAGTTGTGGGGCTTGAGGGTTTCATTAAGCAACCCCCCCCAAAAAAATGCAAAATTCTGGACATATACCCCCTTCCCCATATGCGGAAAATAAAACAGAAAACTCAGGCGCAGAGGCATAATAATAATAATAATAATAATAATAATAATAATAATAATGTATACTGCCCTATAGCTCTCAGGGTGGATTGCGAGATAAAACCGCAATGTTAAAAACAGAAAACGCGCCGTCGAAATAAAAACGAAAAACTAACCCCAAATAAAAATAAAACACATTTCAAATGGGACCTGGTAGAACAGGAATTTTTTTCGCCTGGCACCTAAATGGAGGGGCCAGGGGAATCTCCCTGGGGAGAGCATTTTGCAAAAGGGAGCCACCACAAAAAAGGCCCTGCTATCGAGTTGTCCCCATCTGGACCTCTCCGGGAGGAGGCACACGAGAAATGCATATAAAAGAGATCTCAGGGTCTGGGATCCCTTGATTCATAAAGGGATCCCTATTTCCCAACTTGGTCCAGATATAGAGCTTTAATTCCCGCACCCCCTTTCCCCGCCAGGTGCCCAAATGTCTCCGGCCGGCCCTGCCCACTGCCCGCCGCAAGGGCTTCCCTCCCGATCTCGCCGCATCCCCAACGTTTGCAACCCGCCGGGCATTCGGTGACATCACAGAAGCCCGGCCAATGGGAGGCCCAGGCCGTTCGCGCCCCCCTCCCTTTGACGACACAGGGGAAAAACACACCCCAGTTGCGGCCGCCTTTGCCAGAGAGTAAAACGGGGAAATGGCTTACCGAAGAGGGAAGTCCTGGAGGAACCTTCCGGACTTTTTTCGGCTGTCCGTCTGAATTTGGGGTGCGAGGAGGAAGAGGGGGGGAAGGGGGAAACATAATTAAAGAGCCATTCCTAATGTGGCAGATTAGATTTCGTAGCGCCAGGGGTGACTTCTGCCAACCGAAGCCCCCCCCCAACCTGTTGCACCCCAGATTTATTCATTCTTATTTCCGTATTTTTCAGTCTATAAGACGTCCCTAAGACACCCCTATTTTGGGGGGGGGGACTCCGGTTTAATAAAATGGGGGGAGATACTATCCGTGTATAAGGCGAGCCCAGATTTTGAACATTATTTTAGAGTAAAAAAAACACTGAAAAGTACATTATTTTATTTATTTGTTGAATTCATAGAGCACCCCAAACCCACAGGTCTTGGGGCAATTCACAAGCAGATCTCAAAAGATTACAAAATGCATTTGGGGTTTTAAAGGGGCTGAACGTTGCTGCTCTAAATAATCTATAATATTATAATATAATAATTTATATTCCGATTTCATTCTGCAAACCGCCCTTGAGACCCGCGGGTGGTGTATAAATTCAGTGAAAAAAAAAGTTTCCGAGCCAAAGTCTGACGGACTTATTACGGGCGCGAGCCCAGAGGCCACGATCCGTTTCCAAAAAGGTCCCCCGAGACGTTTCGCTCTTCCGGTTATGACCACACGGCTCGCTATTTCGGGACGGGCTGGGGGTATTTTTAGTATTCCTGGTTTCGGTGCTGTAATCTTGAGGGTTTCATTCTCGAACTCAAGACCCGTAAGCTGCATTAAAGAGACTCCCTCAAAATCTTGTTCTCACGGGGGGGCGCAACTAGATCTCCCAATGGGAACCCCCCCCAAACTGCATATTGCTACCTGTGTACAGTGGGACCTTGGTTCCCAAATGCAGAAAACCCACAAGTGAGCGTTCCGGTTTTCAAACGCTTTTTGGAAGCCAAACATCCGACGCGGCTGTCGGCTCTTGTTTCCGGGGCGCCTGCGCCAATCAGAAGCTGCGCCTCGGTTTCCGAACATTTCGGAAGTCAAACGGACTTCCGAAAGTCTGGCGCTTTTGTTTTCGCTCTTTATTTTTTTGTTTTTGTTTTGGAGGCTTTTTCGGTTCATTTGTTTTTGTGACTGCGTGGAACCCAGTTCAGCTACTGATTGATTGATTGTGTGACTGTGGAAATGGATAAAAGCCCCCCCAAACCATGACCATCATCAGTGCAGGCAAGAAAAAATAATAATTTTTATCTTTATCATCTACAATACTGCCTTATTTATTTTATAAGACAGTACATTGATTCTTGCTTTCGTTTTATGGATCAATGGTCTCGTTAGATAGCAAAATTCATGTTCAATGGCTGTTTTGGGGGTTGTTTTTAAAAGTCTGGGGCGGATTAATCCGTTTTGCATGACTTTCTATGGGAAAGCAGCGCGCCTTGGTTTTGGAACGCTTTGGTTTTGGAACGGATTAAGTTTGAGGACCAAGGTACCACTGTATCCCCGCAGCTTGAATTTCCAACGGTTATCCCTTCTGCCAAACCTCGAATGCCAAAATACGAAACCCCCACTCAGCCCCAGGAATTTGGAACAGGCAGTCGCACAGAGACACGGCAGCCTCTTGGGTGGATAGTAATAGTAATAAATACTACTAATAATAATAATTTATAGCCCGCCCATCTGGCTGGGTTTCCCCAGCCACTCTGGGCGGCTTCCAACAGACTATTAAAATACAATAGTCTATTAAACATTAAAAGCTTCCCTGAACAGGACTGCCTTCAGATGTCTTCTAAAAGTCAGGTAGTTGTTTATTTCCTTGACATCTGGTGGGAGGGCGTTCCACAGGCGGGTGCCACCACCGAGAAGGCCTTCTGCCCGGTTCCCTGTAACTTGGCTTCTCGCAGTGAGGGAACCGCCAGAAGGCCCTCAGGAGATGGACCCAGGTGTCCGGGCTGGATGATGGGGGTGGAGACGCTCCTTCAGGTATAATGGTCCGTTTAGGGCTTTCAAGGTCAGCACCAACACTTTGAATTGTGCTCGGAAACGTCCTGGGAGCCAATGTAGGTCTTTCAAGACCGGTGTTATACGGTCTCGGCGGCCGGATAGGGGCTCCGGAATCCCGGAAAGTTTTAAATATCCTTTTTTTTTTTTGGGTGGTACAACCCACTTTGGGAGACGGGTCCCCAAAAGCTCGGCGCTAAGACCCCGCAGGCCGGAGGGGGCTGGGGGGGGGAGAGAGAAGCATTTTACAGAGTGAACCTGCTCACCGCCAGAACAGGTGGATTTCATTAGTTCCAAGGCGGGGGATGAAAGCGAAAAACGGGGGGAGGGAAAGGGGCAGGAAATTGTGCAGGAGGGAGACCGTTCGGGGGGGGGCGGGCGTGTGGTGTTGCGCAGGCAGAGCGGCCCCACGCCCCTTTCCAGACAGGGAATATTCATGGGATTTTATTATTTTATTTTTTTGCACACACAAAAAAATGGTTTTGCAAGAAAATGCCTCTTTGCTGGGGGGCTGGGGGAGGAGGCAGGAAGAAAGGATATTAGGGAATTTTGGGAGAAAATGCGTCTTCGCTGGGGAGGGAAGGACAGGCAGAAAAAGGATAGGTTTGGGCGCATTTTGGAAGAAAATGCGTCTTCGCTGGGGAGGGCAGCACACGCAGAAAAAGCATAGGTTTTGGGGCATTTTGCAAGAAAACGCGTCTTCGCTGGGGAGGGAGGCACAGGCAGAAAAAGCTAGGTTTGGGGCATTTTGCAAGAAAATGCGTCTTCGCTGGGGAGGGAGGCACAGGCAGAAAAAGCTAGGTTTTGGGCATTTTGCAAGAAAATGCGTCTTCGCTGGGGAGGGGAGAACAGGCAGAAAAAGGATAGGTTTGGGGGCATTTTGCAAGAAAATGCGTCTTCGCTGGGGAGGGGAGAACAGGCAGAAAAAGCTAGGTTTTGGGCATTTTGAAAGAAAATGCGTCTTCGCTGGGGAGGGGAGAACAGGCAGAAAAATCTAGGTTTTGGGCATTTTGGAAGAAAATGCGTCTTCGCTGGGGAGGGAGGCACAGGCAGAAAAAGCTAGGTTTTGGGCATTTTGCAAGAAAATGCGTCTTTGCTGGGGAGGGGAGAACAGGCAGAAAAAGGATAGGTTTGGGGGCATTTTGCAAGAAAATGCGTCTTTGCTGGGGAGGGAGGCACAGGCAGAAAAAGCTAGGTTTGGGGCATTTTGGAAGAAAATGCGTCTTCGCAGCGGAGGGAGGCACAGGCAGAAAATAGCAAAGGCTGCTGCCAGCCAGAGCTGGATGAAACGATGTTTCGACTCGGTGCAAGATGCCTGCTCTTGCCAACTTCTGGAGAATCTCGGTTGTGATTTTATTTCCGGGACGGCAGGTTTCTAGACCTCACTGTGCCAAGAAAACGCACTGAAAAGGGCAGCTATCAAAGGCTTGGTTTATTTGGGGTGGGGTGGGGTATTGTCTGCTTCCTCGACTACTGCCGCCCCGAAATAAAGCAAAATAACTTAGGCAAAGTTTAAAAAAGGGGGGGGGGAATGAAGCTTGCTTTTTTTTTTTGCACATGGCTGAGTTCTCCAGCAAGCCTCCATTCCAGAGATTCCTTTCCCGCAATGAATGCCAGATGTCTGGAAGCGGAGCAGAGCGTTTCCTGTACGCACCTCTCTCTCTGCTCTGCCCCGTAATAAATGGGGGGGGGGATAAATGAAGAGCTGGGGGTGGGGAAAGGAGAGCTTCTGCCAGTCCGTGCTGGCAATATTCAGCTACAAGGGCCAATGTACAGGTCTGATTCCCTGGCTCTCTAAGCAGGGTGGGAAAGGAGAGCTTCTGCCAGCCTGTGCAGGCAATATTCAGCTACAAGGGCCAGTGTACAGGTCTGATTCCCGGCCTCTCTAAGTAGGGTGGGAAAGGAGAGATGCTGCCAGCCCGTGCAGGCAATATTCAGCTACAAGGGCCAATGTAAATGTCTGATTCCCGGCCTCTCTAAGCAGGGTGGGAAAGGAGAGATGCTGCCAGCCCATGCAGGCAATATTCAGCTACATCGGCCAATGAACAGGTCTGATTCCTGGCCTCTCCAAGCAGGGTGGGAAAGGAGAGATGCTGCCAGTTTGTGCAGGCAATATTCAGCTAGATGGGCCAATGAACAGGTCTGATTCCTGGTATCTCTAAGCAGGGTGGGAAAGGAGAGATGCTGCCAGTCCGTGCACGTACCTATGCTGCTGTCCGCCCCTCTCCGGCGAGGGTTGTTGGCATACGGGTAATATTGCGAGCTGCCCTTCACCCCCGTCGGCGACAATGCGCTGGGGCTCGAAATCCCCATCTCGCCGGGCAGGAAGCCGGGCTGCGGGTACGAGAGAGAGAGGAAGACAACAGCGTCCGTGAAAAAGAGGGGAGAATAATAATAATAATAATAATAATAATAATAATAATAATAATTCCAACAGAATATTAAAATACAGTAATACATCAAACATTAAAAGCTTCCCTAAACAGAGAGCTGCCTTTAGACGTCTTCTAAAAGCTGGTAGTTGTTTTTCTCTTTGACATCTGCTGGGAGGGCGTTCCACAGGGCAGGTGCCACCACCGAGAAGGCCCTCTGCCTGGTTCCCCGTAACCTCACTTCTCGCAGGGAGGGAACCGCCAGAAGGCCCTCGGGAGATGGACCCAGGTGTCCGGGGTGGAGACACTCCTTCAGGTCTACTGGGCCGTTTAGGGTTTTCAAGGTCAGCACCGACACTTTGAATTGTGCCCGGAAACGTCCTGGGAGCCAATGTAGGTCTTTCAAGACCGGTGTTATGTGGTCTTGGCAGCTGCTCCCAGTCACCAGTCTGGCTGCCGCATTCTGGATTAGTTGCAGTTTCCGCGTCACCTTCCAAGGTAGCCCCACGGAGAGCGCATAGTGGTAGTCCAAGCGGGAGATAACCAGAGCATGCACCACTCTGGCCAGACAGTCTCCAGGCAGGGAGGGTCTCATCCTGCATACCAGATGGAGCTGCCCTGGACACAGAATTGACCTGCGCCTCCATGGACAGCTGCGAGTCCAGAATGACTCCCAGGCTGCGCACCTGGTCCTTCGGGGGCACAGTTGTGGCCTGGTTGTGGGTGCGAGAGAAGCAGCCAGGCAGCATATGCTGTTGTGCGACCCACGGCTCGGCTTCAGAGAAAGCCGTGAAACCATGAAGACCAGCGCCTTTGGGGAGAAGCGGAAAGTCGCTCTCAGTGCAGAGCTATAGGGGCAGATTTGCTGCTGCTGCTGCGTTCGGATCCTGCCCCCCATCTTCGCTCCCCCTCCCCACGCCTCCTCCCTGCAAACAACCCCCAACCCAAACCCCACATAGAAACGCAGAACGTTAAAACCCGCCGCTGGCATTTATGCACCTCCGCTTTTAAAAATTAAATTGCACCGAGGAGCCACTCCCCACGCAGCTGTTTCGGAAACACAACGTCGGGGGAAACCGCTGTGGGTTTTTTAGGCAGCGTCTTGGTTGGAGGGAGAGAGTGTACAGGATTGTGAAGTCGGGAAGGGCCCTCCAGAGGTCATCCAGCCCAACCTGCTGCTTTCTCGACGAAAGCATCTAAAAAGGAGCAAGGGAATCTGATTTCTCGGGTGCAAAAAAACGAAGGTGCAAAAGCATCTTGGAGTTGGGAGTTTTCTCCGCAAACCCCTGGGGGGTCTCGTAGCCGAACGAAACCTCCATGGTCTGCAGCAGTCTACCTGCAAATACCCGCAAATATCTGAGCTTTTGTGCCATTTGCCGGTGGGCTCTGGGAAACCAAACGCCTGCCAAGATCCGTACTGGCAAAACCCCGAACAGCAAAAGGAGATGATGGATAAGTTAAGGAATTTTGCTCACCTGGTTCAGAGCTGGCATGTCTCTTCCGAATGGGTAGGCGCCTCTTTCTGTGCTTTTCCCTAGAGAAAAGAAGAAGAGGGAAGAAAAAGAGAAAAAAAGAGTCTGTGAGCACCCAAAACCGGGGGGTTGGATTGCATGACCTCTGGGGTTCCCATTCCAACTTTTGTTTTTGAGGACAGAGAAAAGAATTGAGGGAGAACAGGCCTGGGAGCATTTGAGCTCACGTTTTCAAGCAAAGCTTAAAATTATTATTATTATTATTATAATTATTATTATTATTATTATTATTATTATTATTATTCCACCTTTTATCCAGAACGTTAAAACCTCCGAAATGAATGCACAGATCAGGGCAAAACCCTGCCATTCTGGAGTCCGCACTCCTCTGCATTTTGAGAAATTCATTCTGCCGAATTTTTGGAGAGGCGTCCGGGCGAGACAAACGGAGGTGTTGAAAAACGCACTTTGCGATGAAATTGGGACTTAAAAACACACATTTCCGTATGGGTTTTTGGAAAGGAAAAAAGGAAACACAGATTAATGAGGAAATGGGACAGGATGTAGTTGATAACGATGACAACAACAACTTGAGATCTAAAGGCCTGGGGTGTACAGGAAGGAGGACATGGTGGGTTCTCACCCCAATTTTCCCATTTCCTCCAGTTTTTTTAAAAAATAATAATGTGTGGGGGGTGGAGACAAGAAAAAATAGGGATGTAAAGGGCCTTCTTGGTGGTGGCGCCCACCCTGTGGAAGGCCCTCTACGTCCCCCTCTATTTTTTTCCTGCCCCCCTCCGTTATTTGTTTTCAAAAAACTGGAGGAAACAGGAAAATTTGGGGGACAACCCCATCATTTCCCCCTCCGTATACAATCCAGGCCTTTATATCTTGAGAGATGTCAGATTAAGTGGACTGCCTTACGAAATGGGACTGCCTTTTGTCCAGACGTATGGCATTTTTTCCTTCCAAAAATGCCTTCAGGCGTCTCCTAAACGTTGCATAGTTCGTGACATCTGATGGGAGGGCGTTCCACAGGGCGGGTGCCACCACCGAGAAGGCCCTCTGCCTGGTTCCCTGCAACCTCGCTTCTTACAGTGAGGGAAGACCCTGGGGAGAGGGATCCCAGTGTCCGGGATGGAGATGAGGGGATGAGGCCGTTTAGGGCTTTCAAGGTCAGCACCAACACTTTGAATTGTGCTCGGAAATGTACTGGGAGCCAATGTAGGTCTTTCAAGACTGGTGTTATGTGGTCTTGGCGGCCGCTCCCAGTCACCAGTCTAGCTGCCGCATTCTGGATTAATTGTAGTTTCCGGGTCACCTTCAAAGGTAGCCTCAGATAGAGCGCATGGCAGTAGTCCAAGCGGGAGATAACCACAATGATAATAATATAGGATAGAGAGAGTTGTGCATCAAAATCATTCCTGTCTGGAGGGTGCCACCACCAAGAAGGCCCTCTGCCTGGTTCCCTGTAACCTCACTTCTCACAGGGAGGGAATCGCCAGAAGGCCCTCGGGAGATGGACCCCGGTGTCCGGGGTGGAGATGCTCCTTCAGGGATACTGGGCCATTTAGGGCTTTCAAGGTCAGCACCAACACTTTGAATTGTGCCTGGAAACGTCCTGGGAGCCAATGCAGGTCTTTCAGGACTGGTGTTACATGGTCTCCATTCCCAGTCCCCAGTTTGGCTGCCACATTCTGGATTAGTTGCAGTTTCCGGGTCACCTTCTAAGGAAAGCGCATTGCAAGATTCGCTGCCATGCACCCTCAAACTGCCTTCCCTGGTTCCAATTTGAAGGAGAGACAGAGCTGGGAATTATCCTGGTGTCTAACAAACAAGTAAACTGGCAAAAATGTGATATCGCTTAGGTCTGCCATACGGCCGTAATTCCCCAGACATAGCCAGGATCCGTCTGCTGAAAATGGCGTCCGGGCGAAATTCTTCCGAAAAGTGGCTAAAATGTCCCAGGGGAAAACCCGGCAATAGGGCATTCCCTTATCGGAATCACTGGATTTTATTTTTTGGTGATGTCCCTAAAAAAGGGTGTTTGTGCGTGTGTGTAAAAAAACTTCATTTTTCTTTTGGAGATTTTGCAAATAAAACCCCACACAAACAAATGTCGAAATACGGCCACCCTATGCTTTCCCCCGACGCCCACATTCCCCGACTCTCTGGAGAGGCTTAGCGTTAAGTCAGCAATAGGTCGCGGGGTTGCAGGGCAAAATCTTTTAACTGACCTAATTCCCCCCCGCCTCCGTCAAAGCGGTTTAGGAGCTAAATTTGCCACACGGAGGACGGCCTCTCGCAGCCCCCCCTATTTCTCCCTCCTCTCCGTGCAAAAAAATGAACACCGCCGGGTTTTGTTGCCAGATCTTGGGCCTAAATCGCCTCTGCCTGGTGAGAGAACCGTGAGTTTTCCCCTTATTTATTTTCTCACACACATACACATGGCACCAGGGTTAAGGCTAAACCGTGGTTAAGAAAAGCAGGCGCAAAACCCAGAGCTGACGCATTTGCCCAGGGTCCCAGGGACCAGAACGAAAAATGCCTGAACATCTCTCTCTCTCTCTCTCTGTCTCTCTCTATACCAGCTAAACCATGGTTAAGAAAAGCAGGCGCAAAAATCCAAACCTAAACCGTGGTTAAGTAAAGCAGGTGGAAAGCCCAGAGCTGACGCATTTGCTCATGGTCCCAAGGACCAGAACGAAAAATGTCTGAACATCTCTCTCTCTCTCTCTCTCTCTCTCTCTCTCTCTCTCTCTCTCTCAGCTAAACCATGGTTAAGAAAAGCAGGTGCAAAAATCCAAAGCTAAACCGCGGTTAAGAAAAGCAGGCGCAAAACCCAGAGCTGACGCATTTGTTCAGGGTCCCAAGGACCAGAATGAAAAATGTCTGAACATCTCTCTCTCTCTCTCTCTCTCTGTCTCTCTCTATACCAGCTAAACCATGGTTAAGAAAAGCAGGCGCAAAAATCCAAAGCTAAACCGCAGTTCAGAAAAGCAGACGCAAAACCCAGAGCTGATGCATTTGCTCAGGGTCCCAGGGACCAGAATGAAAAATATCTGGACATATCTCTCTCTCTCTCTCTCTCTCTCCCCCCTCCCAGCTAAACCATGGTTAAGAAAACCAGGCGCAAAAATCCAAAGCTAAACCGCGGTTCAGAAAAGCAGACGCAAAACCCAGAGCTGACGCATTTGCCCAGGGTCCCAGGGACCAGAACGAAAAATGTCTGAACATCTCTCTCTCTCTCTCTCTCTCTCTCTCTCTCTCCCCCCCCCAGCTAAACCATGGTTAAGAAAAGCAGGCGCAAAAATCCAAAGCTAAACCGCGGTTCAGAAAAGCAGGCGCAAAACCCAGAGCTGATGCATTTGCTCAGGGTCCCAAGGACCAGAACGAAAAATGTCCGGATCATCTGAATATCTATTTTTTTAAACCAAACCAAACCAGGGTTAACGCTAAATCGCGGTTAAGAAAAGTAGGCGCAAAACCCACAGCCGACACGTTTGCCCGAGGTTCCAGGAAGCAGAACGGAAAATGTCTGGATCCAATAATTCAGGCATGTCCAACAGGCAGACTGTGATCTATCGGTAGATCACGGGACGTCTGTGGCAGATCACTAGTAGATCACTGGCTCCTCAAGCGCAACAACTTTAACCCCTAAAAACAGGGTTTTCCTTGCTAAAAAAAGCTCAGCAACTGTGATCCCTGAACCCCCCAAAAAGGGGGTAGATCTCTTCCAGTTTTGAACTCTGTGAGTAGATCGCAGTCTCTTGGGTATTGGCCACCCCTGCAATAATTGTATTAAAAATGCAATTTTTTTGGGGGGGGGGAAGTGGCAAGAGAGGAAGGAGGCGAGATAAGGTGGAAGAGATTAAAGGCAGCGATTGGCGTGGTGGGGGGAGGCCGGGTGTGTGTGTGTGTGTGTTGGTCAGCCTTAACCGATTAAAAACCATTGTCCAATACGGTAGCAGCTCACAACGCCAGCTAGATTAGCAGGCCGGGTCTTTTCGGAAAAGGAGTTAATTGCTAGAAATAACGATCCACCCAGGGCTTATCGGCTCCCAGACTGGTTAACCGCTATTCGCAACGCCCCCCCCAATAAAATAAAACCCAAAATTCGTTTGCAGGTATGCAATTTTGCAAAAGGGAGCCGAGATCAATGGAGATTTGATTGGCATCTATTTATTTATCGGCGCGGGTGAATTAACAGACACCCCCCCCTCGGCCTTCCCTCTTTCTCTCCCCCCCCCAAAAAAACCACCCGGATTAGCGGGGATTAGCAGAGTCTCAGACTCAAGAGGGGGGCGTTTCGGAAGAGGGGAAGGGCAGGATGCAAACTGTTGCGGTCGGTCAAAGATGGCTCCCCCCCCCAAATCACTTTGGGGTTCCCCCTTAGGGCAGTTCATAAAAAATTGTGGGTTTTTTATATATATTAAACTCCTGCTCCAAAGGTCTTATTTTACTACACTAGGGATTATATAGCTATATCTGAAATTCCATGGATATCGGTTAATATCTTGACCCCCCCCTCCACTGAACTGAAATTTTAGCCTTCACGACATAGGAAAACAGCAAATTAAACATCTATTTTTGTGGAGTCAAGATATTAACTGATATGCATGGAAATTCCAGATATAGCTATATAATCCCCAGGGTAGTAAGAGAAGACCTTTGGAGCAGGTTTTTTTTAATAAAAAGCTTTTTATGAACCGCCCTATTAAAATAATTAAATTAAATTTTATTATTATTGAATTGATTTTGGAATGTATTTCAATTAATTGATTATGATTTTATGTTATTTTTACCGATGTTAGCCGCTCTGAGTCTGGCCTCGGCTGGGGAGGGCGGGATATAAATAAATTTTTATTATTATTATTTTATTATTCCCCGTCTTTGTGGACCGCACCCATGTGGTTTAGAGGTTAGGGCGGTAGACTAGGGCATGGGTTCGAATCCCAAAACTCAAGCTGTCCGGCCTCAGCCTTCCCGGCTCTGTGTGCGAAAGCAGCCGCCCTGGTACCGAAAAAGCTCATTCCGGCACTCGGCGCATGCTCAGAGGCGCCCTTGTTCTCCCGTTCTGCACGCAAAGCGAAACGCAGAGCCGATCCAACACGCCCGAAGCGACCGCCCTCGGCAACCCCGAACACAGAAAGCTAGATTTGGGCTGTGATCCTTGCTGTACCAAATGTCCCATTGACTTTAGTGGTGTCTGCACTGGCTGGCAGCAGCTACTGCTGCGAAAAATAAAGTTTGGGACACCCCAGCGGACATCTAGCCCACCCCGCATCGCGATGCACCTCCGGCGAGAAATTTTGGAACAGGAAGCTTTTCCCCGCCAACGCAGCGGCTCTCACCTACGATCCCAGACCCCAGGAATGATGACGAAGATAGGCTATTATGGGATGGGAGTTCTCTGTGCTCGCCGTAGTGGGAGCCCTCGCCGTAGCCCTGCTGGAAGAAGGAGAAAGAAAATATTGTAGGAGCGGGTCCTTGAAAAACAAAAGCGACAGGGTGGGTAAAAATCAATGGTTAAAAAAATAAATAAATCGGATTTTTAAAAAATTTAAATCAGATTTTTTTTGGGGGGGGGGAGGTTTTCTATTTAAGTTGCATCATAGTCCAAAGGCTACAAGGAAATAATGATTTGTTTTAAGCTTTTCATGCGTGCTAAAACTCAGCCTGTTTTTTATTATTATTATTATTATTATTATTATTATTATTATTATTATTATTATTATTGTTTTCATTCGAAGGTATAATCGTTTAACCACATCAGTTAGCAAACATATGCTACAAAGTTATTGTTTTAGTTAAATAAATTGTCCAAATTGTTATTCACGAAACGATTATTTTTCTCCTTCCAATAAAGTACAGCAGAAAAAGTCGTCCGAATATACACAGTTAACTTATTAAACCTTGCCATAATTTCACAATTATCTGCCTTCTGCATTGTATCACCAAATCAGTAAATTTTTGATATAACTGTAAAAACGGCTCTGGAAATTTATTATTCCAAAAATGAAACCTCCATCTGGTTGTCAGTATTAAGAGCAAACCAGCAAGGCGGAGTCTTTCTGTAAAGAAAATTGATTTAGATCAAGTCTTACTGACTAGTGATTTGAACTTTTCTTCCTATTCTTTTTAAATTGTATTGTTGTTTTATTACTATGGCCGACGGCTGAAACAGATAAAGATTCCTTCATTCAATTGCATGCACCCCTCTTTGCACCCCCCCAAAAAAATGATTCTCAAAAGGAAAGAGATTATTATTAATTTTTGCTCTATTTCAAAGTGGTTTTCTAATTATCCTTACCCTGACTTGGTCAAACGTGGAGTTATTCTGATCTCCTACTGCCCAGGACCCAGAGGCCGGCCGCTCGTCCAAACCTGCTGGAGAAGGGGGGGAAATAAAAATTAAACCAGCCCAGGAAATTATTATTATTATTATTTAAAGGAATCAGCTTTGATAAGCAGTCCCATCGTACAAAGGCAGTGTTCTCCTGAAGCTAAAACGGCTTTCCTTCCACATGCAGTACATGTGAAAAAGATTTGACCACAAACTTGACATGAGCCAACAGTGTGACGCGGCAGCTAAAAAAGCCAATGCAATTCTGGGTTGCATCAATCGGAGTATAGCATCTAGATCAAGGGAAGTAATAGTGCCACTGTATTCTGCTCTGGTCAGACCTCACCTGGAGTACTGTGTCCAGTTCTGGGCACCCCAGTTCAAGAAGGACACTGACAAACTGGAACGTGTCCAGAGGAGGGCAACCAAAATGGTCAAAGGCCTGGAAACGATGCCTTATGAGGAATGGCTAAGGGAGCTGGGCATGTTTAGCCTGGAGAAGAGGAGGTTAAGGGGTGATATGATAGCCATGTTCAAATATATAAAAGGATGTCACATAGAGGAGGGAGAAAGGTTGTTTTCTGCTGCTCCAGAGAAGCGGACACAGAGCAATGGATCCAAACCACAAGAAAGAAGATTCCACCTAAACATTAGGAAGAACTTCCTGACAGTAAGAGCTGTTCGACAGTGGAATTTGCTGCCAAGGAGTGTGGTGGAGTCTCCTTCTTTGGAGGTCTTTAAGCAGAGGCTTGACAACCATATGTCAGGAGTGCTCTGATGGTGTTTCCTGCTTGGCAGGGGGTTGGACTCGATGGCCCTTGGGGTCTCTTCCAACTCTAGGATTCTATGAAACAGAGCAATGTTTGGATGTTTAAGAGAGAATAAAGAGACTTTTCCCTGTTTTGCAATGTTCCCATGCAGGGATACTCAGCTTCAGAGCAGAACTGGATGATAGATTTTTAAATTCCATCATGGGATGGAATTGCATGCAGAAAGTTAGGGTGTCAGGGTGGGGGAAAGGTTCTATTTTGTGTTCAAACAACACAGAAGAGGGGAGAGGCGAGGTGGGGAGAACGGCGAACTTCCCAACTTTAGTTAAATCCATATTATTTTCAGTAGCCTTCTAAAAAACAACCACCCCCAAATAAAATATGGGGGGAGGCGAGGGAGTTGCCCCACACTTAATTTGGTTAAACTGAATTATTTCCCCTGGATTGTTATGGTTCCAGTGGTTTCGTATTCCCACAAAAACAGACCCCATTGGCCCACGCCCTGGGCTGTTAGCTTTCTGCTTGCAGGGAGCCAAAGCAACAGCCCTCCTCAACTTACCCAGCTGGGGAGGGCAACCTGACAGGCAGAGGCGAGGTGGCTGAATGGGCAGAGCACGTGCGCCGGGTTCGAATCCCGGTGCATCCGGATCGGGCGGAGAATGTCCGCGGCCCAAAAGGCGGGAGAGATGCTGCCAGCCTGTGTTGGCAACACTGCCCTGCAGGGACACAACAGCAGTTTCCTACAGGAAGATGGGTCCATTTTATGGTGTTGCAGTGGTACCTTGGTTCTCAAATGCCTTGGTATCCAAATGCCGAAAACCCGGAATTAAGTGCTTTGGTTTTTGAACGTTTTTCGGAAGCCGGACGTCTGATGCGGCTGTCGGGTATTGTTTCCGGGGCGCCTGTGCCAATCAGAAGCCGCGCCTCGGTTTCCGAACATTTCAGAAGTCAAACGGACTTCCGGAACGGATTAAGTTTGGCGCTTTTGCCATTTATTTTGCGGTTTTGTATTTGAGGCTTTTCCGGTTCATTTATTTTTGTGACTGTGCGGAACGCAGTTCAGCTACTGATTGATTGATTGACTGCAGAAATGGATTTAAAAAAACCAAGCAATGACCATCATCAGTGCAGGTGAAGGAAAAAAAAAACAATTTTAATTTTTATCATCTCCAATATTGCCTTATTTTACAGGGCATTGATTCTTGCTTTCATTTTATGGACCAATGGTCTCGTTAGATAGTAAAATCCATGTTGAATCGCTGTTTAAGGGGTTGTTTTAAAAGATCGATCCGTTTTGCATGACTTTCTATGGGAAAGCGCTGCCTTGGTTCTGGAACGCTTTGGTTTTGGAACGGGATTTCCGGAACGGAACCAAGGCATCGCACTGTGCATGCAAAGGTCTTCGATGCACGACCCGAGGTGAGTGTGCAAGGCTGGGTGTGCAAAAGTGCAACGCCGCACTCACACACAAAAACACCCCATTGTGTAAATCGTTTCCCGCTCCCCCCCCCCTTTCCATCTTATTATTATGTGAATCGCAGCCTTCCCCATCTCCCCTCACTGTTCATTTAACCAGAAACTTCTTTCAAAATTGCAAGGCTTCCATTCCGCAGCCTTTTGTGCTAATCATTTCCCCGGAGAATCGGTGTTTAATTGCTGTCTAATTTGCATAATTATGCATATTAATCTCCACGCCTAATGAATATTCATAACCCTCATTTAGATTTTGTTTCCTAATCAAAAAATAAAAAATAAAAATACCCCGCTCCTCCTTTTTCCCCCCAATCCCTGCTCTCTCTCCAATGTGATTACTTTGCGGAATCGCGGTGGCGGAAAAAAAAATGTTAATGCGACTTGGGATAGTATTTTTTTTCGGAGGGGCGAGCTGTGCATTCCTGTCGCCGCCGACAATAACTTTCGCTCTGAAAAATGCGCCATTTACTCCCTCCAAACCCCTGGTGACCCCCCCTTTTTTGACGCTCCGTTCTAGGAGAGTTTAATCCTCGTCGGCCAAAAACGTGAAAATTTACAAAACCCACTAATAAAAGGCAGGATTTGAGAGCTTCTGTAAATCACTATACAGCCGGGTCAATGGACAGGGAGCTCTGCCCGCAAGGAGCTTACAGATCCTACATGCCGACACAGAGGACCGGTTAAAGGAGCAGATCAAATGATAGAATCGTGGAACTGTGAAAAGGAACCCCAGCGGTCATCTATTCCAACCCCCTTCAGTGCAGGAATCTCAGCGAAAGAATCCAGGATAGAGGGCCATTCAAACTTCTGCTTAAACTCCTTTGAGGAAGGAGAGTCCGCCACCGGGTGTCAGAACAGCTCTGACTGCCGTTGAGTCGGAATCTCCCTTCTCATCGCTCGAAGCCACGGGTTCGAGTCCTACCCTCGGGGGCCGGAGGAAACCAGCTTGCTCCCTCTCCCATGTGACAGCCCATATTGGAAGATGGCTCTGCTGTCTCCATTTTTCCAGGCTAAACATCCCCAGCTCCTTCAACCGTTCCTCATCAGGCTCGGTTTCCAGACCCTTGGTCATCTTTGTAGCCCTCCTCTGCACACCTTCCAGCTTGTCAACATCCATCTTAAATTGTGCTGCCCAGATCTGGAAACATTATTCCAGGTGTGGTCTGACCAAGGCAGAATAGAGCGGGACTATTAATTCCCATGATCTGGACACTAGACTTCTTTTGATGCAGCCTAGAACTTCATTAGGTAAAGGGACCCCTGACCATTAGGTCCAGTCGTGGCCGACTCTGGGGTTGTGGCGCTCATCTCGCTTTACTGGCCAAGGGAGCCGGCGTACAGCTTCCGGGTCATGTGGCCAGCATGACTAAGCCACTTCTGGTGAACCAGAGCAGCGCACGGAAACGCCGTTTACCTTCCCGTCGGAGTGGTACCTATTTATCTACTTGCACTTTGACGTACTTTTGAACTGCTAGGCTGGCAGGAGCAGGGACTGAGCAACGGGAGCTCACCCTGTCATTGCGGGGATTCGAAATGCCAACCTTCTGATCAGCAAGTCCTAGGCTCTGTGGTTTAACCCACAGCACCACCTGCGTACAATAATCTTTGTCATTGTCCCATACAGAACAATAATCTCAGGGAACGCAAAATTTTCTGCCCATCTCTTACAAGGTGTCCAAATGTAGAGCTGTCACCCAAAAGATCTCGACCCCCTTTATGTGCCTGCAACCAAGGAGGACCCGATTCAATGGACCACGTTCTCTTAGATTTCCCTTTGCACAGCAGACCTGGCCAACTGATGCTGAGCGAAATGTCGGACCTCCGGCCCATAACTCCGAGAAGAAGCCAAAAGAGGTTTCTGCTGGCAGGCCGGGGCAAAGATATCACTGCTTTGGTAGCTTCCTTTTTAGCCACAATCCTACCCAAAAGGGTTCCCAACAAGCTATACTTTCGGGAAACAGGTAAAAGGTAAAGTACCCCTGGACGGTTAAGTCCGGTCAAAGGCAACTCTGGGGTTGCGCTCATCTCACTTTCGGGCCGAGGGAGCCAGCGTTTGTCCACAGACAGCTTTCTGGGTCGTGCGGCCAGCAGGACTAAACCGCTTCTGGCGCATGATGGAAACCAGAACGCACGGAAACGCCATTTACCTTCCCGCCGGAGCGGTACTTATTTATCTACTTGCGCTGCTGTGCTTTCGAACTGCTAGGTTGGAAAGAGCAGGGACCGAGCAACGGGAGCTCACTCCGTCATGGGGATTCGAACCGCCGACCTTCTGATCGGCAAACCCAAGAGGCTCAGTGGTTCAGACCACAGCGCCACCCGCGTGGAATAGAGACAGGACGCAGAATATCCAAATGCACGCGACCATAGTGTGGCGTTATAACCCTTGACAGATTCACCCTTGTCCTTTTAATTATTCCAGTCACTTGAAACATTTTACACTGCGATGCCAATAAAGGTATTTGATTGATTGATAATAAAATTATTATTATTATTATTATTGCTGAAATGAGCAGGCATGGATTATTTTCTTCCAGCATGTCTTCTCTGAATAAAAACCTAACTGGCTACACGGTCCACTGCAAATAAAAATCAGTATTTTTCTTTAAGCAGAGAGCAGTGAAATTAAAAAATACGATGGCTTCTAGCTCGCCAGGAACTTCTAAACGCACCACGTCCTGTCCAGTTGGCAGGTAGGGACAGTAACACAGGGCTCCCTTTCTCCCTCCCACCATGGCTACGTTAATAGAGTTATTAAAACGGGAGAAAGAGAGAAAGAGAGAGAGACCCCACAGATTAAT